ACTATAATTTTATGTACATTTATTACATTCTACTGTTATTTGTATTTGCATTCATTTTATTATTAATTTTGATATTTCATTTATGGAAAAATGTCGTAACTGAGATTAATATAAAAATAAGATCATATAAATTTCATAAGATGATACTGATACTTGTAGGTACCCTTCTCAGTTGAAATTGAAAAATCAAATTAACTTCTCCCACACGTGTTTGCAAAAGTAAAAGGCCTTAACAGTGGAGAACAATGCTTAACTCAAATAACGCAACTTAATTATATTCTGGTTGGTCTTCCGTATTTTATAATTACAGCTCGATTATAAGCACAAAATTACATTTCTTAATTACTGGGTATCTTCTGATTAGTCAAAATGATACAATTTACAACGCGCTAAAAAAAGATCTATCTCATAAGGACACTTATGAAAGCCGATATGTGCTTTTAACTAATTTTATAATATTTTAACAACTTAAATGTAAAATCTATTATAATTAATGAAATAACAAATAATTGTATTAAAAATTCATTTTTTTCAAAAAAAAATTTTTTTTGCTTTCAGAAAATATTGTCCATATTCATAAAAACAACTAAAAGCAAATAAAAGCATTTGAAATTAAATAATATATTTGTTTTATTGAGTTTTGTATGTTACAATTCAGAGCTGATTTTCAGGTACTATCAATCCAATTAAAAAAAAAAAAAACATGATTTGCATTCCTCAAAGCCCTGTGCTTTTAATTATTGTAATCACTAAAACCGATGCGATCGAATTTCTAGCGTTTTCATAAAATTAGTTATGGGGGGGTAATAAATATAAAAAAAAAATATTTCTACCATGACTTTCAAAAAAAAAAAACATTTGTAATAATTTCGATCATCTGTGAATAGTTTCTGAAAGTTTCATTAACATCCGATAATTATTTCTATTTTTGCACGATTTTTCAAATTAATGTGTGTCATACCAAAAAAAAACGTGCTAAAAATTGTCTATGTTATTTACTAGTTCCGCTGATACAAATAGAAAAAGGTTTTTTTTAATCAAAATTTAGAATGTTCTTAAAAGAAGGAAAATTTTTTAAAAATAATTAAAAAAAAACTTTGGTCTTTCCTCTTAATAATAACATAAGCATTTAGACAATAAAATTTAGTTTTCGGCAAGTTTGGTGTCTTTTTCATCAAGCTATGCTCTATTTTTAGCGATTTCGTGGAGGTACCTATGTTAACATTTTTAAATAATGTCTATATATATATATATATATATATATATATATATATATATACACACACACACACATATACTCATTAATGTATCAATCTTAGATATGTTGCATGTGGAAATTGAAGTTTTTATGGGATTCATTAATGTTATAGACAGAAAACAAATACCATTTTGATGTTAAATTTTAATGCAAAAGTAGGGACAAAAAAAGTATCTTGGGAAAATTGGAAATGAAAGAGGCAAAATGTTAACTTTTCAGAAAGATATAAAATGACATTTGCTGTTGGACATATGTAAATTATTCTCAGAAGTACTTAAAAGTATACTAAAGTATACCTTAGATGAAAACCAGCCATGTGAGCTGGCAAATTTGTGGAATGGCCACTCAACAATAAACAGTTGATAAACAATAGATCAATTGATTGGGAACAGAAGATAATAAATGCTTTTGTTTTTAGCTTTGACTTGAATATGTGTCAGTTTCTCTGAGAGAGTAATGTATTAATTACAATTATATAAAATTTACTGGGAATATAGACAATAGCAGTACTGTAATAATTTGAGTAAACAAAGACAGATAAACATTAAAAAAGGAATGATGTAAGGGGATATGATTTCACCTGAATTATTTATAACAGGCTTTGAAATCATTGGATGAATTATAAAAATGGGTAAAGAGGGAAAGTCTTAATGTAGGTTTAGAAATGAGCCGAAACAAATATTCAATTGTAATGTTTTAAAAAAGAAGAAAAAAGATCATTAAAATAGATGAAGAATTGGAAGATGTCTAAGAATACATATATTTAGATACTAACATTAAAGAAAGGTCATGGATATTAAATAAAATGATGTATAATGAGAAGATGGAAAGCATTTAACAAAAATGCACAAAGATCAATATTAGGCATAACTAAGAAATAGAGATCAACAGGGATAAGAGAACAGACTAAGATAAGAAAGTAGTAGTTATACAATAAAAATGGAGGTTGGCCAGACATATAACAAGAAAAAACTAACAGATATAATAAAAGGTTTGATTAGTGTCCATTGGCCAACAAATACAAAAAAGACGGAGAGATGAAATAGGTTTGGTGGTAAAACATTATGGCTGAATTGCAATTGTCATCAACAGATTGAGCAAGTTAAGTTAATTTACCTCTATGGTTTTATTGACTGTTACCCTATGATGTGGTCATGGGGAGAGTATAATAGATGACAAGTCTCTTTTATTATAATCTAATATGTGCACAAGTCTCAAAATAGGTTGGTATTGTACTTGAAAAATTAACTTACTTGACCTTTTAAGATTCCACCATTTATAAAGATACATAGATGTTTTTTCTAAAGTAATTATCATGAATATAACATTGATATGAACACAAAAACTTACACTTACAAACATCATTTAATAAAACAATAAGAACCAAGGATAAAGTTTAAGTAAGATATTTTAACATTGCAATAAACTCTTCTAATGAGAGAATGATTTGTTTTTGAACTTTAGATATTAGTAAATAACTCTACTTTAGAGCTATATAAATCTTACTGATTTTGCATGTACACAAAGTATTTCTTTGTACCAAGTGACAAAGACCTATAAAGTGCAATGTATCACCTTGAATGACTTGCTATTACTAAAATGTTGCCTTGTATAATCTAAGTATTTATCAGTTTTATTTTAAATAGCTTTTCATGAAACAAAAAAAAAATCATTATTTACATTATTCGGACTATTGTCCTCGACTTTGTTGCCATATTTATTACAACGTTTCATCCGTTGTACGCTCCAGCCAAAACATTGTAATAAATATGGCAACAAAGATGAAGACAATAGTCTTAATAATGTAAATAGTGTACATAATACCTCATTTCAGAAATATAGACAGATAAAAAAAAAATCATGTCATAGAAAGAATTTATTTTATTTTTTACCCTTTTTCTTTAGATTCTTTCTTTCTCTCTTTTACTCTACAAACCCTTACATTTTTATATATAGATTTTGCTAACCCTGATTAGCAAATGCAATTATAAAAGGTCTGTGAAATGCACAACCTAATTTCTTTTCTGTATTTAAAGATCAGTAAAGGTTGAAGTGCTGTTTAAAAGGTTAATAGGAATTCTTGTTACATATGTACAGTTTATAATTTTGTCTTTGTTTTTAAATTTGAAAAGGGATTTCTGCTGAGGGATCAAGATAATCAGCTTATGTTGGCTTTTATGATTATCCATGATATTTCTTATTTGGAAGTAGATACAAACTGTTCTGTACATTCTATATCATCATCGTTTCGGTTTGATTGTTTAGATGGAATATGACATTTGTAATCGAGAGAAACCAACCAATTTAAATAAAATCACAAAAGATTCTGTGTATCAAGAACAAAAATAAATATAGCTGCCACTTTGCTGATATTATCTAGGCAGGTAATTATAAATTAATTAATTACTAATGTCAGTCTTTTCTCTCTCCTACTATCAGGACATACCAGTAGCAAAACCAAATTGGTTATAACACAATGGGTCCCTGCTTTGATTAGCTTGGAACTCCTACATAGTCAAGTTGCTGTAAATGTTTTTATGTGGTCCTGAAGTGACTGATGTTTTATGATTGCCAGTAAAATCAAGATTAGAAACCTTCAAAGCAACCACCTGCTGTCCACAAGTAGAGAAAAAATAAAAGTAAGTAAATGAAAACTTTAGGATCAAGTGCCACTAAGCTGGAAAATAGGCAATTTCAGTCATTTTAGTCAAGTTGCATTCTATAATCACCAGTCAGCTGGCTGTCTGTTGTGAGAAAGATATGTAGATGAGCTAGTCAGAATTGCAGTCCCAGACTATCCATCAAGATATAGAGGCAATTAACACAGTCACTGCCATTCTAATCTCAATCTGTTTAGTCAGTCACAGAGGGCTATGGTTATATGCTTACAATCTGACAATGCAAAGTTGGAATCCTGCTTTTCTTAAAATTATTTATTTGAAGGTGACATAATCAAAATTTAAACTTGCATTGTTAATTTCATTTTTTGAGTTGTTAATCATTTTGACAATTGTACAACAAGTAACTCTAGAAAATAGACAAGATGGTAGAGAAACTGTTCATGTTACTCTGTGTCTAGACTTACATAAAATCTATCTACAAATTATTGGTCTGTATCCTCATTCGTTCAAAACCTAAACTTGAAGCACATATTCTCCGTTTTTCATAAAAGATAGTGTCATTCAAAACTTGTTACTGAAAACTATATAAGCATGTGTCACTTGTTACTTTCTCTTTTGTATTTCCTTTACTTGTAATAATTTTAAAAATTAATTTCACTTCCATAGGAAAATTAATTTATCTATATCCTCTTTTTGCTCTCTAAATAGGTATAAGGCACCATTATTTTTCTAGTGGTTTGATATTTCATATTGCTAGAATTAGCAGAATCCAACTAAATGCACAGTGCCTCTTAGAAATTTAAAAATATAATATTTGACTAACTACTTGTTTTGGCAGATATCTTCTAACCTTGTCAAAAATTTGTCATTGAATAATGTACTTTTTTTTTTAATTATGAATTCGTTGGTAGTAAGGTATCTTGTGATACATATATACATACATAATCAAGAGTGAATTATAAACATGTATGTCAGAAATGCATGAAAGTTGAATTAATTTTAGATTTTTCACCTTTTTATTTACATATTTCTATTTAGTGAAATTACCCCCCTCTTTTTTTTTTTTTTGCATAGTCATTCTGCTTTCACTTTTCAATGACAGCATTCATTTTCCTTTTCAGGGTTAACAAAGAAAGAGGTCAGTCTCTTAGCAATTATACGATGCCTTGGGTGAGTTTTTCACATTTTAAAAAGATTTTTTAGTATCTTACTGCCAAATACAAGTTGTTACCAAAGATTTGGTAAAATAACAATTCAAGCTGTACACTCATCTTTTAAAGTTTGTAGTGTTTTAAGTTTCTGTTGAATTTTTTTACCTTTGTTGAAGATTTGATTTTTTTTTTTTTTTTTTTTTATACTTCCAAAAATCCACCTAAAAAGTGAATTTAAAATCATTAATTTATTTTTCTTTGTGCACCCATCAAATACATGTATAAATGCACATTTCTGCTTCAAGAGGTGACTTGATAATGCTGGGTATGGGGAATTTACATTAAATATTACTGCTTGGATCATGTTTGAGTTAGGAATTTACAACTTAAAATCTTGGCAATTTCAAAAGTCACATATAAGAAATGTAGTTAAGAATATATTTGAGAATTTGCATTTTTTAAAAAAAGTGTATAATTATGTCCACTATGAAGGAGTTAGTGTGCCATGATTGCACATTCATAACAATAATCAAAACTTGATTCAATGACAAAATACTGAGTATCTATTAAAACTTGGCTCATAATATATGATCATTTTATTGTATTTGATCTAAAATAATATTTGTTGCTGGAACTTTGAATTCATGATTGATTTAAAAAAATAATCATCTGAATAAGGCTGGAATTTTAATAAGCTGAGAAATAATAAACATGGTAATACTAATCTGATAAAAATATATCCTTAATTTTGTTTTTAAATTTATAGAGTAATTGATATACAACAAAACACACATTGTATTCTTGTAGTTTAAAAATGCTGAATGATTTTGGTTGAAGAATTTCTTTTATTTGAATGTTCACTAGTGTTTCTTTTATTCGAATGTTTACTAGAAAGTTGCATTTTGATTAAGAAGGCTAGTAAAATTCTGAACTAACAAAATTGGTAAAATGTGTGTAAATTATTTTTATTAAAAAGTCATTATTTAATAATGAAGAATATTTTCTCTTATTTTAAAACTTGTAGTTTGATAAACTATCATTGTAATATCTTCTGATGTTTTTTTTTAACATGGTTTATAATTACTTTTTGATTCTTATTCAATTGGAAAATTTTTTGCTATCATGAGCAAAAAGATGGAAAACTTTTGTTATAAACTTTGACATTTTCACTATTTAAATCAACATTAAAAATATTTGAAATTTTGAATAGAAAAATATTTAGCAATTCATTCATTTTTTTTTTTTTTTTTTTTAATCAGGTCAGCTTTCACTGCATCAGACACAAATCGCAGAGTAGAAGGAACAGCATTATTAGTTGATGCTCTACATCAAATACCACAGGATTTGTTAACATTTGCTGAAGGTATGTTTAAAAGCATGTTTAATAATAGAAATTGACCAAAAAGTTATCCCCATTTTATAAAACAAATGCACTATACAGTATAAAAAAAAAAACTACGTGCCCCTTATATGACGGAAAACTTTACAAAAAAATCTCCTATTGATCATAACCTTAGTTACGATTATTTTAAAATTTCACATCCCTTCAGGGTACAAATGATAACTCTCCACAGATTCTTTATTATCTGTAAAATGCCATGATATCTTGTTAAAAAAATGTTGGAGTGGTTTCCTGTTGCCTTCTCTATGGTTTTGAATTCAGAGTTATTCTTCTCCTTAACTGGCAGGTACCTAAGGCTAGAAACTGCAATCTAATGTAATCCATATCCAGTGGAAGGATACATAGATTCATGGCTTTCCCAAGGTTATTATTAGTTATTATATAGTGAACATAACAGACGAGATCTAAACTTGAATTTTCTCTGTCAGTTCTGCACCATTATACTATTCACATCATCCTATAGATATGATACTTGAGGGATTTGATGAAACCTCAACTAATTAAGGTGTCAGTATTAAATTTGTTTTTATTTTCATTACTTTTAAAGTTTCCAAAAAATATCATTCTTGGAGTAATATTTTATTTTAATTTCTTAGGTTTATAGAAAATTTGCAGTACTGAAAAAATTTTAAATTGGATTATTTAATTTTAGTAAACAATTGCAAAATCATTGTCACTAAAATCTAATATGCCTTCACAAGTCATATTAGATTTTCTTGTATGTCTAATTTCTTTTTTTTATGTAGACCAAAATATTAAGGGAAAATTGTTCTGTCCAAACCAAGTGGTTATAAGTAACACAATATAATTTTGATGGACATTTTTGTTTTATATGTTCAATTAGAATACTCTAATATTTTAGATATAAAGATCAGATTTTTATTTATTTTTTATTTTTTTATATTCATATTTGTTCATTGTATTAGAAGAAATTAAGCCAATTAGCTAAATTGCCTATATTTTATGATTATGCTAGAATATATAAACATGGAAATATTTTTTGCTTAGCTTGCCAATCTTAAAGAAGATTTTGTTGGAATAATCAGGATTAAATTCTAATGACTAAAATGAAATTGTATGTATTTGTTACTGTCGTCTTTTAACAGCCATAATTGAAAGAAAAATTTGTTGCTTATGTTCCCATCTTAAGTTGTTTTCGAATCTGTTTCTGAATGTATGAAAAAGGCAAGCAACCTGTTTATAGAAACATCTGTTTGCTTCTCCTTATCACATACATGAAAAGGTATATATTTCTCTGAAAATATTTATTGATATTTGTGATTTAATTGAAATATATGCACATAATTTCATATTTCTTTGTTTTTGGTTTTGGTTTGTTTTTCTTTGTATTCTCTTCTTTTTATTTTAAACTTTATTTGTTAAGCTAAATCTGAATATATAATGGTAATGCAATTGATATATCTCAAAAACTGTTAAAGTTTGTTTGTTGATTACAAATTACTTTTATATGAAAGTAAAGTAATATCTCTTTCAAATGATACCAAATTTAGCCTCCTTATTATTACTGGTTATGAGGATTTATTCATTAACACATTTTCCATCCAATGAGTCACAAGCATTGTTTTACTTTCTTTTCTTTTTTTATAAAGGCTTTTTTATTTGGAAGAGAAGATAATTTCCACTAATTCATATGCTTTAAAATTGACAAGATATAGTATGTGATCTTTGCTGTATGGAACCTGTGTCATGATTGAACACTATAGCTTTTTGACAGACCAAATTGGGTTTCTTTTCCTTCAGAGCAGCATTTAAATTCAACTGTTTGACTTTAGATGTCTACTATCATTTTAACATTCTCAAAGTGAATTATACCAACACAATCCCACCACTTACCTAAGCTAATTATTCAACCATGACAGTACTATTTCTCTCAAGTTCAAATTAAAGCAGGCCATCATTAAACTCAATGGGACAAATTGTGGTGTATTGTCTAAGCTAAAGACATATCTTCTAAACCTTTGAAATCATTTTTGGCAGTTTCTTTTGTTTAAAGAATCTATTCTATAAACAATTTGGGTTGCTTCTGCAGCATTATTCCTTTTTTTAAACTTACATGTCTTTACAGACACAGTGTTAGGAAGGTCGAGTTACTAACTAAATTAGTTGAATCATACTGTGACAATATAACTTGCTCATTTAAAACTGTACAAACACACACTAACATGTATGGTTATCATTTATGCATTTTAAAATAAATAAAATATCATTCACTCTATTGGTATTAGATTTTGGAAATTTATTTATTGAATAACTTGATAGGCTTCCATTTAACATACTGTAATAAGTCATGATTACTGAGTCCATGATACAAGATATTTAACTTTTCTCTGTAGATAATCATTTGTCAAAAAACCTTATTCATTTGTTTTCCTTATTTTCTTCAGAGCAATACAATATATGACTAGATTTTAGACTAATTTTTCAAAGGCAATTTTTGCTTGAGTTTTGATGCTGCTGACATGGAGAAAAATGTAATTATTGTAAACTCTTGTCTTTTTTGACTCAAACTACTTTACCATAAAGATAAGTGCTACAAGCAATGTCCACAAATTAATTTGCAAAATAGTGTTTTCAAAGTTGGAAAACATATTTTAATATTATTGGAAATTTAGACCTTATTTCTCATTGAAGATTATCATTACTGATGTGTATAATCAAGTCATTTTTTATAATACTGGTGTCACTATTTTGCTAGTGTCATGTGACTTATAAATTTTGACATTCTATATACATATATATATATATATATATATATATATATATATATATATATATATATATATATATATATATATGTGTGTGTGTACGCGTGTTACCTTGCAAGGATACTGAAAGAATTACTAACATTGTATTTTATATTATTAATAGATTATATATATATATTAGAAAGTAATTTGTGATTGAAATACATACAGAGGTGTGAACAAATACATTAATCTGTAGCTATGTGATTGTCACAATTTACTTGTGTGCAAAAGTTCCAATCACCTGTTTTTTATGTTTTTTTTTTTTAAACTAGAAACTGAATACAGAGTTGAATTTTTTTTTTTAAACAAAATGTGCTAGAAATATTTGCATACATCTAATAAATACCTACAACTTCTATGTTATGAAATCATTGTTTAAAAGTTGTTTACTAATCTTTTGTATTTTTCTTTTTTTTTTTTTTATTTTTTTTATTTTCCCCATCTGCTGCTAATTGTGTGGATTACTGTGTCCAGTGGAGCTGCTTAGTTCATTTTTAAGTGATCGTCTTTCTGACCACCATTCACTTCAGCCACTGGCTCTTCACGGGCTTGCTGCTCTGGTATGTCCAAGTTCATTTTTTTCCTTTAAATACATATCACAAAGTACAATGAATCAAAACAATTATTTTTTACAAATTCCTTAGTGACTGATACAACATTATTATTAATTGCAACTTCAGGGTTGTAAATCACTCATTTCACTTTTGGACGATAATCATAAAATTTATTAAACTGTTAATGTATTGAAAAATAATTTATTTGAAGTTTATTAAGTAAGCTTTTTAGAAGAAAGTGCTAGAAATATTCTATTGGAATAACAACAAAAACAGTTGTTTATATATTAAGTGGGGAAATATTTGTAAAGTATCAAGACAAAAAAAAAGATGTTTCCATGGGTTGACAATCCTGAGTTGAAAAGAATCATAACAGAAACAAACAGAAGTAAAATGGAAGGGAGAATAGTAAACAGTTAAAGAAAATAAAAAAAAAATCTAGTTAATGCTTTGAGAAAGCAACATCTGGAAATTGGAAACTAAATTAATGCATAGATTGAAATGTGAAGAAAAGCTAAAAATCACAATAATATCATAGTCAGATCCAAACAGAAGAAATGTCCTGGTCTCAAACAAAACATTTCAACCTTTCACAGGAAAAAATTGATGAAATCTTTCAGAGGCAAGTTAGAACATTCACCATTAAACATTCCAAGGATTAAAAAATGTAAATTTCCATGTTTAAGAACGAAGGATCATGATGAGGGAAATAATCTTGACAGCATTTCATCTCTTTAAAATTTAACTGCATTGTTTATTATAAAAACCATGATTGAGAGTTGGGAAAAGTACAATTTCAGATTTTTATGCAGCAGACACTTATTTTGAGATAAGAGAACCAATTTCCTCTATTAAAAAAATTGATTAGGGCCATTCAGTGCCAAATCTTTTGCAAGACTAGACGATTTTGACAGATTCAGTACTTTTATTTTTTTCTGGAAATCTGACAAAGGAACTATGAAAAGAAAAATAAGCATGCAATTCATTATTTGACAAAAAAACAATTGAACTTTACAAAATAGTTTTAGGTCTCTGAATTCAAAAATTGACAGTTTGATGAAGGAAATCTTAAATCAGGGGCTCATCTCAAGTTTTAGTAGAATGAAACGATCACTTATAAAACATTTAAACTATTTAAATAGGTTGCAAACTGATTGGAATATTATGTTGAAAATACTAATGAATATTGTATTAACTGGATTCTCAACAGTAACTTCTAATGACCCATTTGTTTTTATCCTCAATTGGATCTAAAATTCCATTATATGCTATCAAAAACAGGAAAGGAAAAGATTTTCAAATAAAATTTTTTGGACTTGCAATAATTGATCTGAATTATATATTTTATTTCACTAGAGAATTCTTTTGTTATTTAATGACTCTCTTTTTGTACAATTTTTCTTGAAAAAGAATGCATCATTGATCATTCAAGCATTTCAGACCCCAATGAAAATTAATTTAATTAATTTTTGGAATATTCATTATTTTTTTTCAATTTTTTAAAATATGATAATTTTCCAGTGAGATGAATCCAATTAAAATTGCTTATTCAATAGATTTAAAATAAGAATATTTTTGAAAAAAAAAAAATCAAAAAACTGTTTAATAAACAGAAATTTTTTTCAATATTGCCTTCAAAAAAACATAAGGAAATAAAAAAATTTAAATTCCTTATTGATTTACATTTTTTTTTGAATCTATTTCACTGCCATTCAGAATATGGCAGTTTTAAAATTAAAGATAAAAAATTCCAAATTCCTTGTTGCAGGGATCAGTAAAAATCATGTTTCAAATAAAATATAAATAACAAGCACAAACAATTTGTTTTTTCTAAATTGGAATTTGCTATGTTTCAAAACAGCAACTTAATCACAAATTCCATTTTTCAAACGAGACATTTAATCAAAACTCATAGGAAGTGCACCTGTTTACAACTTAAAAATTATATGTCTAAAATTAAAAACCATTTTCTTGGATAAAGGTTCAAAAAATCTTAGAACCAAATAAAGTTTTGTAGGTCGTTAGAAATAAACCAATTTCATCAATAAAAACGGGAAATAAAGAAGATGAAGAACTGCAACCAAATAACAGAAAAACATTGAAAGGCTTTCTTTTAACATGTAAAATTTAATTCACAATGCCAAATTCTTAGAAAATTACATAATCAAGATACTAAAATCCACAATATTTCAAACAAAAAAAATTTTGATTTTATATTCCCCTTCAATTTTTTAAGTTCGCCTCATTCTCAAACATTTTTTTTTTGAAAACTTTTAAAAAAAGAAAAGTTAAAATTAATGTAAATTAGACAAACAGATAAAATAATCAAAAGATGATTTCAGCATTTTATGCTCAAAACAATTTTTTTATTTAATTTTAAAATATTTATAATTTCAGACCACAGATTTCAAAAAAAATATGCAAACATATATACATATAAAAAAAAAGAAAAATCTATTATATATATCATGTTAAAAATAAAAACAAAAATCCATGAAATTTTATGGGATTCCAAATTGATTATATTTTCATAAGATATTGTATCTATCACATATGCTTGTCTTAATGTATCATTTTCTCTAATATTTAAAGTAATGTAAGACTTTTAAATTTAAAAAAAAAGAATATATTTGAAGCAAGATATATATAAATATTAGGTACCTCCACGAGATCGCTAAAAAAAAGAGCATAGCATGATGAAAAAGACGCCAAACTTGACGAAAACAAAATTTTATCGTCTAAATGTTTGTTATTATTAAGAGGAAAGGTCAAAGTATTTTTGGGGTATTTTTTTTCCATTTTTTAATCGTTCCTAGCACGTCCGAAATTTTCGTTAAAAATCTTTTTTTTTGAGTCAGCAAAATTGACCATTTTTTTCCATTTTTAAAAAAAAAAAAACTGGAAATCTGACTTTGAAATTTTTTTAAATATCAATTATCATTTTTTCAAAACTTATTTTAAGAAAATCAGAAATTATAATGTTTATTTAAAATATTTTGAACCAAACTTAACTTAGCTTTTGTGCCAAAAAGATGTAATTTGAAAATAAAACAAAGCAGGTCATAAACTTTCGCGTCTCTTGACATGTGATGAATGATATATTTACGAATTCCATGAGGCTAATTTGTTCTACGGAAGGAGAAAAGTGAAATAATTTACATTTACGTGAACAAATTATTTACCCGTTATTTTTAAGGAAAACTTTCAGCGGTCTAATTTTTTTTTTTTTTTTTGTACTTAGCTTTCACCTTTACGTTTATGATGCTTTTGGGAAATATATTGTAAAGAAATTAAAATAAAACTGTTAAGAGTGACATTAAATTTCATATTTCTTAAGAAAGGTATCTAATTAATTTATAGGTACCTTTCTTATGAAATTTTATCAGAATTGTACATAAAATACTATAATTTTATGTACATTTATTACATTCTACTGTTATTTGTATTTGCATTCATTTTATTATTAATTTTGATATTTCATTTATGGAAAAATGTCGTAACTGAGATTAATATAAAAATAAGATCATATAAATTTCATAAGATGATACTGATACTTGTAGGTACCCTTCTCAGTTGAAATTGAAAAATCAAATTAACTTCTCCACACGTGTTTCGCAAAAAGTAAAGGCCTTAACAGCGGAGAACAATGCTTAACTCAAATAACGCAACTTAATTATATTCTGGTTGGTCTTCCGTATTTTATAATTACAGCTCGATTATAAGCACAAAATTACATTTCTTAATTACTGGGGATCTTCTGATTAGTCAAAATGATACAATTTACAACGCGCTAAAAAAAGATCTATCTCATAAGGACACTTATGAAAGCCGATGCGGCTTTTAACTAATTTTATAATATTTTAACAACTTAAATGTAAAATCTATTATAATTAATGAAATAACAAATAATTGTATTAAAAATTCATTTTTCAAAAAAAAAAATTTTTTTGCTTTCAGAAAATATTGTCCATATTCATAAAAACAACTAAAAGCAAATAAAAGCATTTGAAATTAAATAATATATTTGTTTTATTGAGTTTTTATGTTACAATTCAGAGCTGATTTTCAGGTACTGCGTATCCAATTAAAAAAAAAACATGATTTGCATTCCTCAAAGCCCTGTGCTTTTAATTATTGTAATCACTAAAACCGATGCGATCGAATTTCTAGCGTTTTCATAAAATTAGTTATGGGGGGGTAATAAATATTTAAAAAAAATATTTCTACCATGACTTAATAAAAAAAACATATTTATAATAATTTCGATCATCTGTGAATAGTTCCTGAAAGTTTCATTAACATCCGATAATTATTTCTATTTTTGCACGATTTTTCAAATTAATGTGTGTCCAAAAAAAAAAAAAAAACGTGCTAAAATTGTCTATGTTATTTACTAGTTCCGCTGATACAAATAGAAAAAAGGTTTTTTTAATCAAAATTTAGAATGTTCTAAAAAGAAGGAAATTTTTAAAAAAATAATTAAAAAAAACTTTGGTCTTTCCTCTTAATAATAACATAAGCATTTAGACAATAAAATTTTGTTTTCGGCAAGGTTGGCGTCTTTTTCATCAAGCTATGCTCTTTTTTTAGCGATTTCGTGGAGGTACCTTTACAATACTGAATTGAAAGACAGTTTAATATTTTTGAATTTTCACACAATTGCTGAAAGAGACAAAAGAAGAAAAATGAGGTGGAAAATATTAAATAGCTAGCAAAATAAAAAGCAATTCTGTAAAACAAACACTTTTCAAAATGAAATCTTGAAAACAAAGAGCATCTTTTTGGGAAAAATCAAAAACCCTGATGATGTTGATAATATTATACAAATCAAAGCTAAAGAAATGTTTTTGTTCAAAAAAATACTTTCAATCACTTTTAAACATTTTGACTCAGACCACAGACAGAATATATTTGAACATGGTGATAAAAAAAATATCTCTTGTTAGAAAACATTAAGAAATAATAAATCTTTAAAATTGAGGATTAGTCTTGAAAGTAGTAAAATCTATATAACTTTTTAGGTCATGTGCCATTGTAAAATGAGGACTATCTTTTAGGATCATCCAGTGACATAAATAAAAACATGAATTCAATACTTGGTTAAGGCATGGAGAACTTTCAGAGGAAATTAGCAGGAGATAACTTAAATGACATCCATCAAAACTGACATGGAACTAGAACATATTTTACCCCAGTGAGCATAAATAAAAAAACCACTTGAAGAAGTACGGAATTTTCATAAATATGTTAATGTATGAGGACAATAGTCTGAATAATCTAAATAATGTACATAATCCTCATCTCAGTGTTCATTGGTCTTTTGAATATAATATTTTTTCCAAAACAAAACAGAAAAGGCAAATGGTCTTATTTCTAACATGAGATGACTGACAAGAGGACTTATGCTGATGGCATATGTGATCATAATTGGTAGGAGAATGATCTTGAACAAAAGTTCAACTTTATATACTAAGTATTCTAAGATAAACCTTTCTAAAACAGAAACTAAAAAAATTGGAATGAGGATAAAACCAAACTTGACGAAATCATAAAAATTTTAATTGATAAATGCTAAATTTTTGAAAAATTCTGTTTAAATTATTTATAATAAATTTGATGTGAATAAGGGCTCATACTTACCAAAATGTTAAAAACAAAAAATATTTTTTTTTAGTTATTTTTTTTCCCTTTTTACAAACATCCCATATTGATGTCATGCATGGCATTCAGCTTGTTCAGAAATGTCTAAACTGTCATCTGTACAAAACTAAAATCAATTATTAAAAATAAAAAAAAAAAAAAATAACCCTATAAATCTTCTAGTTTTTTTTTTGAGTCAAGGAAATTCCCATCAAATTTGACGGACTTAAGGAATTTTTTTTCCATTTTAAAAAATTATGGAATCTGACATTTGACAAAGAAATTTTTTGGTATGGAAAATAAAAAAAAACACATGGAAAATCATGGAAAATGGGATTTTTTTATTAAAAAAAAAAGAAGATTTAGGTAAAATTTTGAGCAAAATTCATAAATTTGAAAAAAAAATAATTTTATTTAAAATATTTTGAACATTCTATAAATTTTAACTTAAAAATTTTAATTCATGATATTAACCTGGTGAATTTGGTTTAAAACAAAAAATAATATTAAAATGAATAGTATGGCACATTTAAAAGGTAGTAATTTAAAAGTTTTGTTTGTTTAGTGATTAAACATTTGATGAATCTTTCATATGATAATTTTATTTGGTAGGTAAATTTTAAAAATACAAAGCTGAAGATAAGTTTTTTTGATGATTTTTATCATGATAATAAATTGGTTTACATGGATTGATTCAGAGGAGTTTGAGGATTACAGAAATCAAGGAAAAAATAAATAAAAAAAGTTCTATGATTTGTAATTTTACAGTCTGTTTTTCATGTGTTTTTATGATTTTGAAACAAAAATGTAAAGTTGAAAACTTATGGAATCATGGATTGACAAAATAATTGCAAAATTGTTGATGATTACACAATGAAACTGCAAACTAAACTTATAATCCATTCAAAATGGCTCATAATCCAGAAGTACTGTTACTTTTCAAAGTGGGCATATTGTTTGGCCTTTCCAAGGTGGAATGAACCAATGTCAATTGAAAATTTTAGTTTCAATCCTGTGATAATGAAATTTACTAATAAAGGAAAAGAAGTCTTTCTAGTAAAAAAGTGTTTTAAAGTAATGAAACAGTAACCTGGAAGAAATCGCCTCTTTCAAAGTGTGAGATATTACTTTAAAATCAACCCATCAGTAGAAATTTAATTTTAAGATCTCATTTGCTTGATTTTTAACAGCAAGTGAATATTGGTAGGGAAATTTCTAGCTATTTAAACCACTTGCAGCCCACTATTAGACATTTATTATAATATAAAACATTCAGTTTCTGGAGTGCATGAGGAACATTAACACAGAGAAATACATATTTGGACAAAAAAACATCATCATTTTCCTGGTTAATGCCACAGTAAAAGACCTATCACAAAGCAGTTTTCATGATCATGTTAGTCCCCAGACATGAACCCTACTGAATATGTCTAGATCATTTTTGATTATAAAATAAGGAGAATGTCAATAAAACCTGGAGAGGATTTTCTGTTTTGTATGTAGACTAATCAAATACCCTACAACAGAAGATAGCAGCTCTAATAAATCCAATGTTTGAAGAATTAAAATGTTTAAACTTTATTGATAGCTACCAAATGTTAATTTGCATTATTAAATATTCTTGAATTGTTTAGATCATTGAAGAGTCTTGTTTAAAAATAAAGTTGTAAAATAAAGTTATAACTTATAATAAGATGTTCTCAAAACAGATGATACTGTACTATACACTTCTCTTTTTTAAAATCTATTTCTATAATTAAGAATTTAAGTTTTAATTATTTACTTGAAACACACTTTGAAGTTTGTTTTACAAAAGCATTCATTTTAATCAGTCTACAATCAGACTGTTTTAAAATCAATATTTATTTTTTATTTTTAAAAATTTTTGACAATAAACTTAGTATCATTTATAATAAGTATAGTAAGTATATTGCTGGAATATAGAATGTGAAAGAAGCTATCACAAATTGTAGAAAATGAACATGCATTTGTCAATGTTATAAGTTTATATACCATAAGATTTGAAAATTCTGTTTGTATTTTGGGACTAGATTAATTCATTCAATTATTTGGTGCATTTTGCACTGTTATTGTCATCACTCTCCTCACTCACAATTGTGGGTTATGATGACATTCAAGGCAGAATGGTGTAATGGCTTACCGGTTCCTTTTGCAGTGGGGATGTTGAGGTCACTTTGTTCTTTACCTACAAAGCAGCAGATGGTTTGAATTCAGTTTTCCTTCTCCTGGATTGGCGATGGTACATGGGACTAGATTATGATGATATATATTTTAATAACAAAAAGGAAAGAAAATCATTAACATTATTAAGTTATTCAGAAAGAAAAGTCATTTTTAAAAATAACATTTAGTATGTAAATAAGTAACTAGATGTTATAAGTAGTTTATGTGAAAGGAAAACAAGTGGCTATGGTCAATTAAAAAAATGCTTTGGAAATTAAACAATCTGGGGATCAAATGTACAATCTGTAATGTAAATAGCGGAATCAAAATACAAAGTCCTTTTTTTCTGTCAATAACTCTCACTCTCTCTTTAAGGAATGTACACCAAAAGAAGTTTGCATAATATATTGAGTGTATGGATAAGAAAAGCAAAACAAAAACGTAATTCAATAGTCTGAACAAATTTTGGAATGATGATAACTCTTCTCAAAATTATGGTATCTTGAGAGCAATGTTTTGCCTCATTCAACAGATCTTTCTTCTGTTCAAACAGTAAATGCTTTCATAACTAGTTCTGGAGATTTATTGGCTATAAAAACTTATGACAACTTTTGATATCAGCAGGATTGTTAAATAGAAGTGTATTAGTAGTGCATCAATTATGGTATTGGTCTGATCCATTATTCAAACTTCAAAAGAATTCTGGACAACTGAATACAATGTGGTTTACCAATTGACAAACTCTTAATAAAGTCGGTATTATTTTTAATTTTCTGGAACAAGATTTCATGTGAAAAAAATATTACTTTTATGTTTTGTAAAATCTTTGACTATGGAGAAAGCATTTTAAGATTATATCAATTAATACTGATTTTTGGCACATCTATTGTAACCCACTAAAATTTATCTTTGGGAGGTTATCACCATTGAATAGCATAATTTTATCATTACCAGAGAATTATATTTAGAATGGAAGATGGGAACTGAAATTTGGATGCCTATTTATTTTTTTTATAAATGTCTTGTAGACATATTAAAATTATTATGGATATTGTAGGTAAATATAGATTATTACTAGATATATCTGTGGATAATTTGTGATAGGAAGGTCAATGGGGAAGCGCTTTGAATGCTGTATGATAAAGTGATTTAACACGTTGATTGAAAATTTTTTTTTTCTTTTGAAATATTTTAAGACTTTTGTCTAAAACAGACTGAAATCAGTTTCCTATATTGATGAACCTTTTCTCTTTGCAGAGTAATTGTTGTAACATTCCCTCCTTAGTACCTGAGCGAGTATGTCGGAGGATATTTCGTGAAGTCCAGAACCAATCTCTGCCACAAAAGGACAGGTTTTCTGTTTATACAATTATGTATAATTTTCTCACTACAAAACTTGAAGGTGAGTTCTCTTTTCAAACTTGATACTTTCTTTTCTTTTTTTTATTCATCTGGAAAATCTTCAATGTATTTATTTGTTCTTTTGTTAGAGGCTAAAAATATATTTTGTTTTTGCTCATTGAAAAATGGAGTCAAAATGATCTTAGCTTATTTTGCAAACTAAATGCTTATTTTCCTGATCATGCCTTTCTCTTTATAGAGTTTTTGATATCAGTATGGATTTTACAAAAAGTTCTTGTCAGGTTCAGCTCAAAAGATGGACTGAACCTGACAAAATGATTAAATAAGAAATATGTAGGAAAGTCTTTTATAAATTTAACATGTTTTGCTAAATCAGAAATTTTTGGAAAGTAGAATAATGTTTTGATTTTTAAATTCCATGTTCTCTTTGGTTGGGTAAATGTCATGTCCTCATTTTATGGTATTAGTATGTATGTATGTATGTATTTTTGTAGGCCTTGTGTGTAAAAATGATGAATGCTAAAAATGGTATTTAATTCTTAAAGGTTTTTTAAAGCAGATTTAATGAATATGAATACATTTTATTCTTAAGAGTGATCTTAACAGATGTGATGTTTGTTGAACTCTTATACAATTGGTCGTCAATAGATGATTGTAATAAATGTCTTTTATTTATTCTTATTTTTTTCTTTCATCTTTCTTTTTATCACAACTATCCAGGCTGTCTCTACAGCCATCAGTAAGCAGTATAGATTGGCTTTAAAAAAATATCTCAGCAAGATTTGAACTCTTGAGGTAAGTCTTGTTGAGTTCATGCTTTCTGATCTCTGCTGTTTGCTGATGTCTGTAGACTGATGGTCTATATAGGGTTTTTTTTTGGTTGTGGGGTTTGACAAAAACAACTCAAGATCCAAGAAATATGAGTAAAAAGTTAATAGGTGACAATGCTTCATTTAAAAAATAATTCAAAATAATATTTAAGCTATTATGTTATCTATGATGGCAGTCATTTCATTTTTCAGCTTTAATTTTAAAAATTTTTTTTTATCCTGAAGTTTTCCTTCCTTGTACCGAAAGATGGTCCCTGATATATATATATATATATATATATATATATATATATATATATATATATATATATATATATATATATATATAGAAAAAGTTTCAAATTAAAAATTATAATGTTTTATTTTTATGAAAGTATTTATTTATTTATATATATATTTGATATTTCAAATTGTCCTCAATTTTTCATCAGAAATAACTGTTTGTTACAAATAAATTAAAATTACTGTTTGTTGGCAAGTAGCGTCCTTCGTGAGACGCGGACGTCACGTGATATGGAACGTCACTGTTCAGATATTCCTAACTTAAATCTAACTGTCATAAATATTTAAAAAAAATATTTTTTTACTATATCTAAAGAAATTGCTTAGCTATTGAAATATTTATAAAGATTTAAAACACCTAAGTCCCTATTCAACCCTAATTTATGTGTATTTAATTTTAAAATCCAATATGTTTCTTTTTTTCTGCGTGTGAATGTGGAAGTAAAATCGGAATCTATTAATAAACATTTGCAGTTTTCTAATGTGTGTCCTGATTGATTTGTAGTGTTTAGCTATGGGGGAATAAGGGTTGTTTTGACGTATTGTTTGTTTATGGTTATTAAAACGAAATCTAAAATTGTTTCCAGACTCACCAATATATCCACTATTAGGACATAAGTTGCAGAATAAATAATAGATTACGTTATGGGTATACAGGTGAGGTTAGGTGGCTGTATCTGATATTGGTTTGGGTACGTAAAATGTATTAGCTATTACTAAATGTTTGCAAACCACAACGAGGTTTGTTACATTTGTAATTTCCTGTTTGGTTTCTATTGTTTAGATATTTGGTAGAGGTGAGGATAGCTGATAAGTTAGGTGATTGTTTCATTGCATTTATGGGTGGTTTATCGAAAATGTCTTTGATCTTGTTGTCTAATTGGAGGTTCTTGTAATCATTTTTTAAATTGTGAATAAGTGTGTGGGAATATTGATTGTGGTTAAAAAACCATGGGAATCCGATTGTTGTTTTATTTTTCTTGTATGTGAGAAGTGTGTTACGATTTATCAGGATAGTTTTATTTAGTGCTTCTTTTATTATTTTTATTGGGTATTTGCATTTTAGGAATTGTTTTGTTAAGTTATTAATATTGTATAGAAAATCTAAATGGTCTGAGCATATGCATTTGGTTCTAAGAAATGAGCTGTATACAATAGATTTTTTTTAATTTAAAGGGATGACAGCTGTTAAAGTGCAGGAATTTATGTTGGTTTGTGGGTTTGTTGTATAGACTGGTAGAAAGTGTATGTTTGTTTAATTTTATCATAACGTCTAAGAAAGGGATGGATGTGTATGAGTGCTCCATGGTAAATTTAATTGTATCGTGGAAATTGTTGCAGAAAGTGAAAAGGTTTTAATTTTTCTGATCCATGAGTCCATAATAAGAAAATGTCATCAATATATATAAAATAATGTGATGGTTTATATTCTGAATTGTCTAGTATCTTCTTTTCTAGAATGTGCATAAAGATATTAGCATAACTAGGTGCCATTTTTGTGCCCATTGCTGTGCCACTAATCTGTAAATAGTGTTTGTTGTTGTATTTAAAATTATTATGTGTTAAGATGAACTTTATTAATTGGCATATATCTGTAATTTGATAGTTAGGTAATTTTTTGTTACTAAGGAACTCATAGCAAGCTGATACTCCTTCAACATGTGGAATGTTCGTGTAAAGGGACGAAACATCCATCGTTACTAGGATTGTATCATGGTGGACTGTTAATGTTTTGTAATTTGCTGAGAAATATATAGTAGTGTCTCTAATATAACTAGGTATGTCAGGCAATAAAGGTTTTAGGATATTGTTCAGTTTTATATATATATATATTTCGTATTTCAATCCAAGCAAGACAATAAAGCCACTAAGATACCACAATACTGATGAACAGCTTTTTATTCAGAGTTAACATAGAAAGATTATTTCTAAGATACAAAGAAATATTAAACATATGGGAATACAAACATCAAAGTTTGAAGACTATGCTGCTGACCATAGTATGTGACGCATCACATATTATGATTAGCAACATACTGACAAAGTAGCACTAAAAGGATTGAGTACATAAATCATATAGGGCAGGTATTTGTGTGAAATTTGTTGTATGGTTTGCAAAAGCAGAGCAGGTTAATTGTGATGACGGGACACAACCACTGAAATGTGGACTAAAGTAAAAGTCAGTTTTGCCCTCATGCATAAAAAAAATGACAGGATAATCTGTTATATACCAACTCAACCAATGGTCACCATTTGGGATTTTCATGAAATTTCACTGATATTCACCCTAGGGAAATGGAAAACTTAACTGAGATTTCATTTGAGCCTAAGTTCAAGAGTTATGGCCTCTTAAAAGTCAGTTTGATTTGCTAACTTAGGCATTTCATAACTTTGCATTCTCTGAAGATATCTGGTTGAAATTTAGTGTAGACTAATAAACAAAGAAGACTTATGTACTTTTATAGTGATAGACCCTTAAAAATGGCTATTTTGTATTTATTTCCACCTAAAAATTAAAGTGCAGTAAAATAAAAATTCTATTTGATTATATTCATTTGTTCCATTGAAAAATGGATTAACTGCTGAATCATGAGAACTCGGTAAGACATTTTGATTGAGTTCACAATTTATAATTCAAATTAAGTCTTTCTTTTTTTTTTTCTCTCTTCACTCATTTCTCCACTTGATTCTCTCAGCAATAGAGCAACTGGCAAAAATCCTGAGTGGCAAAGTTTCACCAGGCAACAGACCAAAAAGAGAAAAGTTATTGGATTTTATAGATCTCCACTGAGTGATCAGTTGGGGTGACATTTTCATTAAAAGTTGAATTCTCTAGCTGGTTGACTGAAGGTTATGAGCTCAATCCCTGTGCCAGGCAGTAAATTTTTTTTTTTTTTCTCTCCAAGCGCACAATGGAATAAGAAACTAAAAATCATCTGGCGTTCCTGGCATACAAATAATTTGCACAAAGAGAATGGTTCAAGATATCCATGTATCACAAGCCAACTTTCACTGGACCATACCTTAACTTCAGTTCCCACCATCCAGCATAAAGAAAGGTATCATCTGATGCTTACAGCACTGTACCAAAATCATGGTGATATAGGCACCTACCAACAAGATAGGATCAGCATCAAATGTACCCTTCAGAATAACAACAACCATGCAAACATAACATTAGCTTCTGCAAGAGGGAGAAGAATAAAAAATAAAACTGCTATGGTCTGTCTCCCTTATGTCAAGAGTTTGTCAGAAAAGTTTCAGAAGATCTGTGGTCAGGACAATATTCAGAAGTAGCTCAACCTCATGAAGAAGTCTCTGTTGAGCCAAGTTTTATACAGAGGGAAATATGATGAAGAATTGTGTATTTCATCCCTTGCAGTTTGGGGAAAGAATACAACAGTGAAACCATACTAACAGTAAGGCTGGAGGAACATCAAAAAATCTGTAATTAGGAGTAAGATAAAGATCAGGCATAGCTGATCATGTATAGAAGGAAAATGGTAGTTACTAATCCCCCGTGGAATGAAGTAAAAATGTTAAACAGATAACACTTGAGAATAAGAGATCTGAAAGAATCTGCTAGGTCTCTTCAGCAGACCTAGTATAGTATCTGTTCCATATGGGAGCCATTAATAAATAAAGAAATGACAGTAAGGTGGCAGCATCAGCAAGAAAAATGTGATGTGAATGCAGTTAAGCATCGTAGAAGCAGACAGAAAAAAAAACACATTAGATTTAACATTCTAGGTTTTAGATTCAGTATTGTCCCATAGGACGCCTAATGGATTAAAGAATTGGTTCAAGAATTTAGTGTCAGTAATTCTAAGTTCATTTTCTAGGTTGAGTAGTACAGACTCAAAGGAAAACAAGGTGAGCAGTACTAAATAAGAACAAGATGAGATATTCCTAGACATGGGCAGTGGAAAGAGAACAATCAATTCCTCTAGATTAAAGAAGGGTTCAGTTTCAAATTCACTGAAAGTTACCTGGATTGTCAGACACCTGAAGAAGGGCACAATGGCTAAAACATTGTAATAATAACAATAAGATGAGGAGGATATTTCAAATGTAAATAATGATCTCCTCATCCCAGAAATTCAAACATATATTATCTTACCCTTATAAAAATTAAAAGACCCTCATTCATATCTGGTAAAACTACTACAAAAAGTGATATACATGAAAGAATTATTTTGATTAAAAATTCTAACTGGATACTGCATTTTAATCCTTAAAAGCCATGTTACAGTAAATTTTATGTTTTTATTCTCACCATATTTTGATGATTGATTCATTTTCTGCTACTTATCAACCTTTTGCAGAAAACATTTTTAGATTTGTAAGATTTTTTTTTTAATAGATAATAATGATTTAGGAATACAAGTCTTACTAATTAACCCATAGCTGCGGGGTGAAACAGTGGATTCATACCTTTTCCAAGGGTATTTGCATGTAAGTGAATATAACCTATCCAACAGGAATCAACTCTCTAATTAACAATTCCAAGCCATTATCCATTACACCACCTGCACTTCCGATCTTACAGCACCTGGTATTTCCAAGCGGTCATCCATCTAGGTACTGACCAGGATCAACATTGTTTAACTTCAATGATCATACAGGAACCAGTGTTTCAACATAATATGGCCATAAGCCCAATATATTGTTAATGTCAGGCTTCATTTAATATTTCTGAAATTGTGAAAACGGCTGAAATATTTTATTCTCATTGCTATAAAATTGAATGAAATATCAGGAAAAATTTCAAATTACTTGAAAAGAATATCCATCAGAAAAGACAAGAAATATCTTTATTTACATGCAGGCTATTGTCCTCACCTTTGTTGGGATCACAATGTTTTGGCTGTTGTCCCCTCCAGTGTATTCTAATCTGAAATAAACTGAACCCTTTATTTAATCTATGGAGGTAGATTGTTTCCACTCCACTGCCCATGTCTAGGGATATCCTATCTAATTCTTTATTTTAGTACTTATTTATTGCCACCCACTTTCCACTGAGTTCAAGTACATCCTACACAACCCAGAGATTGAACACATAATTACTATGTCACCAAATTCATGATCAAATGCTTTAATTCATTAGGCTCTTGTCAAGGGGCTTTGTTGATCCATTCTACAAATAATTTAGTGCAGGAATTAGAAAATCTCAGACTGCCATGGATTGGTGATGTTGGTATGAGATTTGCCAAGCAGTATTAGATATTGCTCTATCTCGGCCAAGTCATATATGTTCTCTTCTCGATAAATGAGGTGGGAAACTGGTTAGTTTTTTCCAAGTTTTTCTCTTGCCTCTGTTTATTCATATTTTTCATGCTAGCTATGGTAGTTGTGATTTTTCTGGACTTTTTTTTAAATACAACCTTATTCTTACACTCCATTCATTGTTTTCATGTGTGTCTTTATTTTGCATGGATTTTTGCCTTTCTTGTGATGTTCTCCTGTTATCAATTTCTTTCCATTGAAGATAGGTTGAGCCTGTGTAATCCACAGAAAAATTATTTTTTGTGTGTCAGAGAAAAATTATCATTCAGGCATGCAACAGTAAAATGTTCAATTGTTGAAAGATAATCTGTGACTATCTGAAAATTGAAAAATAAATGCAACATTTAAAAACCATATCTTTGTTGAGTATATTTGTTTATCTCTTATGTCTAACCATTATAACATGCTTGTTTCAAATGCTTTTTTCTTTTCCAGATTTACGTAAAATGGAAAGTGATTTTGTTTGTGGTTTCATTCAAGCAATGGATGGTGAGAAAGATCCCCGAAATTTAAGATTTGCATTCCAATGTGCTCATTTAATTATTAAAAACCTTCCCCTTGGTAAGTTATAGTTGTCTTATTTAAAACATATCTGTCCATCCCCAGTATGAAATGTTATATAATCTTAATTATCAACTTGAAACATCCAATTTAGAAATAGACTATCAAATAATTCCTATTCAAGAAAAATGTTTACATCTTTTTACTATTCACAAATTCCTATATATTTTATTAAAAAGAAAAACAGCATTGTCCTTCATGATTAAGGAAATTATGAAAGAATATTTCTTGGAAAAAAAAAAAAAAATTGTTTACTAATGGCTGTCAAGTATATTTAATGGTTTTCTCTTGAACCTTATTTATTACTTTTTAATAGAATAGATGTAATTTTTCCACATCATGAGAATTGAGAATGAATTCTGTTGATGACAAGTTGGTTTTCAGGAAATGTATATTGAAAATATTATATATACTATAGAGGAGAATCAATAAGTTCATAGCTTATTAGATAATTATTAATTCAATTTTGATTTGAAATTTTTTCCTGTATAATGTTTTAAATTTATAAAATTAATGGGGAAATATTGGGTTAAGTGCAATGATAAGATGTGTTGAAAAATATTGTGTAAAAATAAGATCAATTTTTTTCATCATTATGCTACAAACCAACATATACCAACATAGATAAGTTGGTATAAGTAATCCTGTTGATATGTAGATAAATAATTCAAAAGAATTCAAAATTTTCAGATATCTAACACAATTTACTCTTTTAGGATTTGTAAACTCAAAGAACAACTGCTTAATCAAGCAGCTTTTTATATTATTATTATTAAAAATACTTAATGGCTTCAAAGCTTGTCTGATTTGATCTTTAATCTCTCAAATTAGAATTCCATGTATAATAACAGACAGATCTACTTGGAAATGAGCTGTAGGCCATTATATAACTAATGGCTGTCATTGTTTTGTATGAAACTTCTTTTAGAAAATTGGATGCTTCAGACCTGGAAGTTTAAATTCATCTAAAAAAAAATATTTGATACTGCAGTTTGAACTTAACCAAAAAGTGGTGAAGTATTCGTTGTTGTTGTTCATCTATTGGTACAATAAATACTAAACAAATTTGCTTCACTTTTCTGTTGTTAAGCAACTACCATAGCACAGTGGTTAGTATGCTAGTTTGGAAAATCAGTATTAGCATGTTTGTTCCTTTTTAGATCTGCTCTGTCAACTGGGGCTTCAGAATATGCATACTGAACTTCTGCAGAAGGGTTCTCAATGAGGCCACCTGTTTGCTGTGGGTGGTGACTCATAATGTCTGGGGACAGGATCCTGGCAGTTGAGGGCTTCAAGAGTCTGGTTAAGATACTTCTGGTTTCCAGTACACCAATTTGGCTTTTATTTGGGTTAGATGAGTGATCAGAGTGGCTTGATCCAATCAATTGGCTGTTATGTCAAGCCCTTATTTGGTTTCTCCCAAATCAGAAAGTGGTGGCTGTAGGGACAATCAGAAGGAATGATGATAACTTATTATCCCCAGGTTAATAATAATCTTGGGTACCAAAGCTTGGGGATCTGAAAAAAAACCCCAAAAAACAATAGTCCCTTCCCCAGTGTGAGTATACTGACTAGGTAGCCCTGATAGGCTAAGGTGAATGTGTTTTTCCTCCTTGGTGTATCCCTGTGTGATGGTGAGTGGGGAGCCCAGTCAATGAACTTCAAATAATACTTATATGGCTTATTCCAAAAAACCTCCCCAGCACACAGAAATAGAATGGTGAGAAGAGAGTACCATTCCCCAAATTTATAATCTTGGAATTAGAGGAGGAGACTCCATTCAAAAACTCTCCCTGGTTTTTAATACAAAAAGTAATATCTTCTAAAGTAATGCCAAACAATGTTAAAAACATCAAAAATGGAGCAATACTTGTTGAAATAGAAAAAGACATTGAGACACTTTTGAAGATGAAAAAATTCCATGAAATAAAAATCAAGGTCTTTCCCAACAAAACATTGAACACCCCAAGGGGAGTGATAAGAAATAGAGCTGTCCTCTTGCTCCATGGAAGAAATAAAAAAACAGAATTAAAAAAAAAATGAATCATTATCTAAGAAGAGTCAGCATTAAAAACAGGAAGAACAAATACAAACAAATACATTTAATATGCCTACAATTCTGAAAGAAGTCAGAATATTGAGAAAGTCAACTATTATATCCCAAACCGCCTCCAATATTATTACTCAAAAAATTTGTCATCATGAGGACGCTTGCTATAGAAAAACTGTGTGCAGCAAGTCAACGAAACTCAGACCACATAACAAATGAATGCAAGGATATGTACAAATAATCAGTGTATAATAATGTCTTCACTGAAATTCAAACAGAAAATCTCTAATTTGCTATTGTTTTCTTTAAAACTCATGAATTTTATTTAGTTTATTTATTTATATCAGTTTTTGTGTAATTAATAATTTTAATTTTGGTATTGTTAATGCCAAAATAAAAGGCCTAATTTTTCCATATATATAGTTTTATTAGCAGGACTCTTATCTGATGCTTTATTAAATAAAAACTTCAACTTTTATTGACATATGTAGTTGAAATAAGTAGTCAAGGGGATGAAGAAGGGTGTATCTTTTTCTTTGTCAGATCTACACTCATACTGGTAACAAAGATATTTTTCATAAGAATTTTGAAATTATCTTTATAAAAAATCTATTGGATTTGGTTTAGCTGTTTTTTTAAGGGTTGGGGATGTCTTATTTTATGCAACTTTTATTTTTCATGTAATGCTTTTGTCAATTCCTCTGTCAATTATTGAATAATGCAAAATTTAGAGTAATATTAATTCATGCATGTTATTTTATCTGTAGAATTTTTTTACAAAATCATCTATTTACATATGAACTGTAAACTTTAACCCAGTTTTGGAATTTACAAAACTTTTGCTAGAATCTTGTTCACTTTTTTCTTAATTTTCTAGGAATTCTCTAATCTAGGGTTTTTATTCTACAGTTCTTCTTACAGTCATATTTTGATAATGGTTTATCTATATTGTATTCAAAGTTTTTCAATATTTAATTGAATCGCTTTTTTTTCTAGGTGTATTTGTTGAAGAAATGTTTGAAATTACAGCTTGTTATTTCCCCATAGATTTTCAACCAGTAAGTATGCATTTTGAAGTTGTTTACATTTTACTATTCTAAAGATAAAAAACAACAGTATATTTGGGTGTCTTGCCAAAGATGGTTCCCAAGATATTTCTGAGAATGTTATTAAATTGAATTGATATTCATAACCTCCAATTCATATCAAAGAATCAGTAGATGATCTTTTTCTGAATTTTTATAATCTCTTTTCTCTAAAATACAAATTACTTTGTGCAAAAAATGTTCAGTTAATCACTCTCATTATCAGCCACTATTTGATATTTTATCTTATCTATATTGTCATTAGTTTCTTTTTTTTTCCTTGGTGATGATTATGTAAAATAATATATACTAATTTATATTTTACTTATATATGTAAATTCACCTATCAGTAAGCAATAAATCTTTTCCAGTTACATTATAAGGATGTTAATAAAGATTAATAAAAACAACTCTACTTTTTGTTAGTTAATCAAATTCTCATTAATTAAAAGTATTTTTTAGTAAACTGATGAACAAGACTTTTAGTTATTAGATGTGTGCAAAACTTCCAATGGCTCTTCTGTATTTCTTAGCTAAAGTCTGAATACACAGTAAAAAAAAAAAAAGAAAAAAAATTATGTTCACAGGAAACTTTTACACATACTTAATGCATTTTTCTGGTGTAAGAATATATGAGTGTTGACAGTCTAATATGAAAAAGTTCAAGTCTGTTTGGCTTGAAAATCATGTATTGATGCAAAGCAAACAATATTTGCTGAAGCTTTCTTCACCATGAGCTGCTCTGTCAGTTTGCATTTTATTTTTTCATATTTCTTTTTATAATTCATACTTCTTTCCAACATTGATTTATCTTTCATTTATATGAAAGTTTTATTATTGAAAAAGCTAGATGTAAGCAGAAGTTCTACTTTAATGGATTATTTTCTTGTGCTTCTCACCTGTGGAACACTTCCAGCTTTTTGATTCTCTGCTACCTAATTTTCAAAAATTTTAATTGAACATCAATTGCCATCATCTGTCTTTCTGAATCTTGTTCTTTTATTGTCATTTCTCATTTTTTTTTTTAAGATTTTAAAAAAAAACAATAACAATTTCAAAATAAATGTAACATGAGAGAAAATGACTTATCTCCTGGCAGGAAATGGATTTGGACATGTCTCATGTGTAAAGTATCCCAATAAGAAAATGGTGGCTTTGGGTCATATATTTAAGAAAGAATAGATCTATTTGACCTGTCAGACAACGTGCTTAACAAGGTAACAGAGCAGTGCAACTGTGTTAGTGAAAAGGGGAATCTGCATTGAGTTACAGCCTACTTTTTTTTTGGCTGGCACTAACTGGGAACTTTGTAGACTCATCAGAATAGTAAGTGTATCATTTGTGATTGTTATTGTGCCTTGTTTTTGTGTTTTCTGACTGTTCTTGTTTTGTGAGGGAAATACCCATCTGCTATGGCAGAGGTATTCCATGATAAAGAGTCATTGGTCACCCAAGCATCAACATCAGTATGGATGGAGGAAAGGCACCAAAAAAAAGGTCCTGAATATTATATAGAGGCACAGAAAAAGATTCAGGAGTACATTTTTGGCAATGAACTATTCCAGTGGCCTGGGAGGAAATCTCCAAAGGACAATTTCTCTGCTAACATCTGATGTAAATACCAGGAAATTGGTGGGTGTCAGCAGGGAAGGTATGGAGGAAGCACTTAGGTACCTGAACATTGTAGTAAAGGTGTTGGCAAGAAGATCAAATGCTATGTGGGACATCTTGTTAGCATTAGAAGAGGAAGCCAAAACACTAGTGGGATGCATTCTCACCACCAAGTCAGTGAAGATGCAAACAGCGTATCGGTACCTGAAGGACCAAGATCACTTTGCATGGGGTAACCATGGATATAGATGATGACTTTGTGTGAGCTTTCTTCACACAATATGGACAGGTGGAAGAGGTTACCGCAATGAGGAATAAAATGGTGACAATGTCCTGTAAGAAATTTTTGGCAGTACCCAACATTTTGACATGTCACAACAGGCAGATCCTTGTCATTGTGGAAGGTTGTTGACCCCCACTGCTGGTCTTGTGGTGCAGTGGGACATGTGGCTATGGTGTGCCCTGGGAAGAACCCATCCCTTGAGTCTAGCCCAACAACAGCAAGGACAGAAGTGGTGGAAGAGGAAAAGCCTGATAAGGACCCTAAAGGCTGGAAGGAGGTTGTGTGGGAAGGACGAAAAGTGGCAGCCTCTTCTCCCTAACAGGATTTCTCACAGCGGCACAAGGAGTAGCTGGAAGCAGAGTGACAGCGGCAACTGCAGCTGCAACAACAACAAAAAAAACGTCACAAAAAAGGCTGCAAGAACATAAGGAACGACGAGATCAACAAAATCAGCAGCAGCTGCATCCGCTACAGTTGCTGGACAGCGGTATGGAGGTGGACAAGATGCCATCACCTTGGTCCTTTTCTTTGAAAAGGGGGAAAGCAGAAGACAGGGGGAGGAAGAAAAATGTAAAAAAAAAAAAGAAAATATGGTTGGTTGTACAGTATTTACATTAGTCGGACTATTGTCCTCGTCTTTGTCGCCATATTTGTCACAACGTTTCACACTGTGCCATGTGTCCTCAAGGACACATAGCACAGTGGATAAAGGCGTTGGTTGGATCCAGTGACAGACCCAAAGAAGGTGAGTTCAATACCTGGTTAAGGCAGTGGAGAACTTTCAGAGGGAAAATTAGCAGGAGATAACTGATAACTGACATCCATCAAACATGGCACGTGGAACTAGAACAGTCTACCCCAGTGAACGAAATAAAGGGTTCAGTTCGAAATTCCAATTCCAACCACCTGAAGAAGGCTGGAGCGTACAACGGCTGAAACATTGTGACAAATATGGCGACAAAGATGAGTCCGACTAATGTAAATACTGTACATAATACCTCATCTCAGACTCTGAAGGTTGGTTGTGGCGGATTATGGGACAGGGTAAGTCACAATCCACCCCTGCTTCACCAGCCAGAAAAGATGCAGCCACTGCTAAGGCCAGGAGCCTCTCTTCATCACCAGATATGGCTCCGTCATCTCCCCTCCCCCATCCCATCACAAAAGAAAAAGAAAAAAAGAGGGAGGGCAGACAGGACCTTGAGAAGGCCCTCTTAAGACCCCTGTTCAAATTGACTTCTGTGGATGGCAAGTCAACTGGCAATCCCAGGAACTTTGATAAAGCACCTGGAGTCATAATGGTAATAAGAATTTCAGGCACAAGAGCATGGGAGTTCATCGCTGCAAACAAGACCTCCTTACCAAAGCAAAGATTGCTCTGGTGGAGTCACTAGATCTTAGAAAAATTGCCAAACACTGTTCAGTTTGGTTCCATCCCTCATTAAACTTTGAAATTAACCTTTCCTATAGACATTGGTGGGATTGTCACTGATGGACGAATTATGTCTGATTTGGGTACTAGTAGCCTAGGACAAGCTGTCGGGGTCCTGACTCCTGCAAATTTCTGCCCAGTCTGCTTTAAGGGGAATTCGCTTAGATGTCAATCAGTCTAGCCAGCTTGAATGCAAGGGGCCTGAGATATCTGGGTAAGGCTGCCTGCCTGCTCTGTGATCTCTTGTCTTTTGTGGTAGATGTGGCTGTAATCCAGGAGACGCACATTGTTTGCTCATGTGCTGTCTAGCGACTTTGTTGTTTATTCAGCATACAGGGACCAGCAGGCCAGAGGTATTTCCTTGTTAGTCAAGCATTCTTTGGATGTATGGGTAGACCTTGTCCATGTGGGCGCAGATGGACAATTGAGCATGGCCGATATTACCGTGAACAGTGGTTCATTTTGGGTCATTGATGGGGAGCATGCCGACTTTTTCAGTTAGTTCGAGCCGTTCTTTGTGGATTCATCACACTTAGTCTTAATGCAGGACTTTCGAAGTCTGAAATAATTAGCTTTTTGGATTTTTGTTATCTTGTGGTCCATCCTGGACCACAAGATAGACAGGGGGTGGGGAGCTAGTGGGAGGTTATCAGGCGATCGTAGCTTAGTTGATCTGATCAATGAGTTTGGGCTCATTGATAGATACTGAATCAAACATCCAGGGCTGGAGAGTTGGATGTGGGATCTTAAATGGCCATCTCTCAAGATAAGCCAGCTACCTGGACAGAATGTTAGTGAGAAGGGTTGACCTAGATTTACTAGATTGTCTCGCGTTTCACCGCTTAGACTCATCTGTTCCTGGATGGTGTTAGGTAATAGGCCTAGAATGGGCTCAGAATTGAGCAAGGAAGAGATCCATTGAGGTTCTGATTGTTACATTTGTGAGCTCATTACCCCAGAGGGGCGTACTTTAAGTTTGACCAAGTGCATGTATGAGGCATTTCCGTTTTACCAAAGGAGCCAGGTTTCAGTAGGGACGAATTTCACAGCTATTTGCCTGACTTTCCTTGACTTTCATCAACTGAAGCAGCTAGCTGTGAAGGTGAAATCACAAAGGGCGAAGTTCACTTGGCAATTGAAGAAGGTTGGCAGTGGCAAGTCTCCTGGACTTGATGGCCTACCCTATGAATTTTACTTGAGGTTGTCGCACATCTTTGTTCTGATTTTGACAGTTTTGTTCCAGCAGAGGTCAATCCCCAACCGGATTTCCAGGGGCATGATCATGCTGTTGTAAAAGGTCAAGGGTGTTGGCTGGGATTTAGATGATTACAGGCCCATAACTCTGCTAAGCATTTGGCCAAGATCCTGATGGAGCATTTCTAGTCAATTGTTGTGAGCTTATTGGGACCTGAGCAAACTTGTGCTGTGAAGGGACAAATAATTCAAAGCAATCTTTGTCTAATTCACATGATCAGAGAGGGTATAAAATACGACAAGCAAACCACACTGATCAATTTAGATCAGTCCAAGGCATTCAACAGTGTCGACCCTCGATGCCTGGCTGCTGTCCTGCAGGCTGCCAGATTTGAACCTGACTTCTGCAAGTGGATCCACCTCCTGTATTGCATTGCTCCTCCAGTGATGTGGTACAGGTTAATGGAAGGCAATGGTGTGTTTTTGTGCTGTCTCGACAGGGTTGTCCACTGTCGCCCTTACTTTACACTTTAGTGTTGGAGCCTCTCACTCTTTGACTGAGGAACGGGGCATGCTGAGGCATGTGCCACTTATGTCTTGCCTCTCATCCTTTACCGTTTAGCTGTAATTCCTTTATGTTGGACCCGTATAGAGGCAATTGTTTGTTCACAACCCTCCTGTGGAATGGTCACAAACATTGGGTCTGTAAAGATGACTGTTTTCAGTGTCTGTGTCATGGCGGGTGTGATTGCTACACCTGGTGAGTCATTGACACACCCCTAAGTTTGGCTTTCCTATGTTGCATTTTGATGGAGGCCTCTAGTTTGGTGCGGAGTGTTAGGAACACCTTCCCTAGCCCTACTATCACTCCTCCTATCTATAGGGTTAAGCGCCATCGTGGTCATGTTTGGTTGTCAATTTTCCTCAGTGAAACCTTGAAGTTGTTTCTTCCATCCAGTGACCTTTCTCGGCCTCGTGGGCTATTGTATCATGAATTAGTGAAAAGGGTTGCAAAGGATCCTCTGTGTGGCTGGCTTGGCTTGTTGGCATCAGATTTTCGCCCTTTCTGGTCTTGGGCACTAGCAGCTGATTATCTCAGCAACCCTGAGTTTTCACTTAGCTGGCAATTGATTTGGAATGTGCTACCTCTCAATGAGACAACCTTCAGATGGGGCATCGGTGTGACCTTGGCTTAGAGGAAATGGCTTTGCACGCCTCCTGCCATTGTCCTCAAATGCACCCTTTCTGGGATTATATCAGTGAGTTGATGGCTTGTATTGCTCCCGATTGGCTTGTGTCCATTGATCTTGCATACATGTGTGACACTGTGTTGCCCCTGTTCTCCGAAGTAAAACAGATAGTGTTTTTTTTACATTGCTAGCTGTGGCGAGAATGGTGGTTTGGAATTCACAAAAGGAGGGAATCTTGCAAGATGAATTTTATTTGCATCAGGATCTGGTTGTTTTCTTTAAGCATCAACTTAGGGTAAAGATCAGATCTGATAGTATTTGATTTCAGTGAAAGGTGGGTGACTGAGGCGAGCTTGGTTCATGTGGATGGGGCTAGCCCTGATTTCTCTTAAGTTCCTTTGATGCAATGGGACGGTTTTCTGTGAACTCTCACTTAATTAAGTTAAACACTATTATGTTTTATTAGTTGATGTAAATAAGTGTTGTTTCCGGCCTCTTCCTGGCATTCTCTTTTGTTATGATCCATGTTGAGATTCCCAACCTCCCCAGTGTGTTTTTGTCCCGTCAGCCTTTGATTTTCCCATTCTGTTGTTTATTTTCATCCTCCCCATTCCATAAGTGAGTGTGCTTCTTGATTCTGTCTATTGGCAGAATACAGCAGCCACTCTTATTTTGTGGAGTGAACAGGTCCTACTCACATTTATTTTCTTTTAGTTTTATCATTATGTTACATTTTTAGTTTGTTTTCTGGGTTCATCCCTTCACCATCATTTCATGATTCATGAAATTTTATATATTTTGAACTTTCATCAAATTTTATGTCATGAGGTGTTTTGTAGGTCCCCTGTGAATATGCAGTATTGTGGTATATGCAGGATTGAGAGGTGATGGATGAGTTCTTGTGGTGAATGAGTAAATTGTAGAATATCATCCTCTTCTCATTTCCCCTTTGGCCTTGTGCCACAATTTTGTATTCATACAGAATAAATAATCTAATCACAAGACATGCATGGTGGAGTGTTGAGTTAGACTGTTTGATGAAAGAAATGAATTTGGGAATTCTGAATAAGAAACTGACTACAATAAATGAATTGAAATAACTTTCTCAAACTACTGTGAATAATGTTCTATTCTTGGTATACCTGCATGGGTCTAGATAATTTTATATTTTCTCTCTTTACTACAAAGATTTTTCTCACTCCTCCTTTATTGTCAACATGTGACCTGGTCAATAAAAACAAAAAAAAAAAATACAATGATTTGGAATCTTCTTTCAAAAGAATCTTGGTATACAATACAAAAAGAATAGAAATGTAAATGTTACATAAAGTTTAAACTTTTCAAATGAATAGTTTTCCTGATCATTTTACTATTTAAATATTGATAAATTATTCAAGTAATGAATCAGTTGTTGATTAATCAAATTAATTTGTCGGCTGTTCAATTGAGATAGAAAAAATATAGTCATTAGATTAAAAAGTTAGCTAGATATCATTTAGATACATTTATTTGATACATCTGACAAGTGAATGTTTTATATAAAATACTATTACCTGACATACAAACACTCCTTCATATTTTTTCTTAAAATTCAGCAAATCTTTTGTTGTTTATATTCCAGTTCATTTACATTTCGTATATATTTTGTAAAAACATTTTTCCAATAAAAAATCTTAAATTGAATTTTGCATATAATTTTATAAGTTTGCAACTTTTTAAAAGTTGAATAAATTAAGTGTATTTTTATAACAAAAATATTCTTATTCATAATTCTTGATTCATTATTTTTTATTTGGTTGAATGCAACTGAACTGATTTTTTTTTTTTTTTTTTTTTTTTTTTTTGTCTTTATTGTAATTTCTTGATTTCTTTCTTTTATTATTCTAGCCCCCAAATAATCCTTTTTGGTGTACAAAGAGAAGAATTAGTAATGGGACTTCGAAATTGTTTGTCAGGTTCTTCTTTGTTTGCTCCCTTTGTTCTTCCTTTGCTAAGTGATAAAATGTCCTCAGACATTCAAGATGCACGTATTGATGCCATGCAGACATTGGTAAATTTTAAATTATATTTCTAATTTCAAGTGTATAAATTATCATGTCTTCTTTATTTTCATTCCTATTCTCCATTTCACAAAATGTATACATACTTCTACATATTTAAGCATTGAGTTAAATTGTTTACAAAAAATAGCAATTATCTATAATCGTACTGCATATACTTTACATGATAATTTTATTATTTATTAAGCTTTATTTAGGCTGATAAACAGGTCCCACATTGCTTGTAGTAACTGTTGTTCCTCCATGGTCACACATTTAAGTATTGAGCAGACATCACTTTTGTAACCTGGCAGGATCTTGACTATAAGTCAATATGTTTTTAATGTTAATATTCAGAGTAAAGTTATTAACTCAAATTCATGATACTACATCCTACATTCTTTAATTTAATGGGATGTGTCCTGTTGGGCATTATCATGATGGGGTACATCCCATTAGGTATCATCATAAGGAGAAAAAACCTGAAAGATTAATTCTGTTTCTACTTGGACATGATAAAATTGCATAAAAGTATTTTTCAAAATTGTTTTAATAACTGTCAGTGTTCAAATGTTAATTATGATGAAAATCAATTGACTTTCACATTTATATGATTTGATTAAAGAATAATAGAAACATTGTTCCTTTTCAATTTTGTGGTATGTAGGCTAGTGTATCTGAGGTTTATGGAGCAGAAGCACTTACCAAGTATCTATCGACCGAAATTATTTTTTCCATGTTAAAAAAGGAGGTGAGACTTTTTCTTGATATTGTTTATTAATTTCTGTTCACCATGCATTAGACATGGTTTAATGCTTTCAAACCATGTCTAATGTGTGCAGACATTTATCTATATTACTTCAAATATTTAAGAAAATTGAGAAATATAAATTTTTTGTTTTATTCTTTCTTGATGAAAATTATTAAAAAAGAATGTTTATTGGTTTAAAAAATTTTTCAGTACATGTCTGGTATCTTAGAACTACAAAAACCCTCCCTAGAAGCTTTGACTGCCCTGATATCTTCACTATCTCTACATGTGGACGAAGTAAGTGATAATTCTTGTCATTTTTTTTTTTACCATTATTTGAGTAGATATACTTAACATCTTCAATTTTTGTCTGTGATTCCACGAAAAGCAGCAAAAGCTTCTAGACTTTTCTCTTATAGATGAAAAGGAACCAAAAAGGATAAAAATCAAAAGAAATCTTTTTAAAGAGTGTCACATTGCCAGCATAAAGTGTTTGTATTTTTTCTGATTTTTCAGACTATATAATTTTACTCTCAATCTTCATAAGATAGCAGTCATTAGAATTATTATAACATCTGTCACTGCTGCCTACACCTGGTGGTGTGACCATATTTTAGTGGCCTGGTCCTCAGGATCTTAGAACAACATTTTAGCCATAGGGTTAACTCTGTGCTGGTCAATGCTGATTGTTGGTTGCTGGCTGTTTCAGTTCATGTCAACTGTCCACACATTGTTCTTGATCTCAGAGTAGTGGAAAATTGAATGCTGTAGTCTTGCAGATGTTATAATAATCATATTTTGCCAACTAAATGGTAGGGAGGAGGTACCTGGGAGTAAGCTGCAACAAGTCAGAGTTCCTCTCCCAAATTTATAACACCAGACAGTTTTAGCCAGGCCAGACTTATAGCAGACAAGGTCACGCCACATGCAACTTTGCACGATTGATTGTCCAATAAACAACCACTATATTTATTGCTATTCAACATTTGGCCAATGCAAAAAATTGGGCGTATAAAAGCATAAGCACATGAAAATCAAACCAAAGAAACAAATTTGGGAGGAAGTTAAGAAAATGACAGAGGATGTTTGAGACAAAGTCAAGTTATGTGAAAAAATAATATTGTGGACTTGGAATGAATTAGAGGTAAAAGAAGGGAGCTAAAATAAGCCAAGTGAATACATTCAGCACAAGAAGGAACAGAACAGAAGGAATATAAGTCCAATTCTGGCACCATTGAAAACCAATCAATTCCAGAGCAAATCCTTAATCCCTTGTTTTTAGACATTACTAATTTATTGTTTATATGTACATATCATTTCTGTTTTTTTGCTGGTAGCCACTTAGAAGATCTCGGGTTGATACATTTAATTTGCATTAATATTTTTATGCCTATGTTACCATTTATTGTCCTTTATTCTATTGTATTCTTTCCTTTTGATATCAATTGGCAATTAAACACTGAATGATTGATATCAACATTTGCATCACAATGCATATCATTATCAAGGAATACCAAAAAAAAAAAAATGTTATCAATTTCAAATGTTGTAGATTCTTGTTGAATCCAAGAAATTAATATCTAAAGTTGTGCATTCACATTTCCCTTGAGCCTCCCTTTTAACTAAAAATTCTTGACTAAATAATTGGTATGGCTCACATTAATTTAACATGCAAATAGACTGAAGCCCAATTGTGAATAGCAGAGAAAATAACACAGAGCTGGTTCAAGCTGTAGCGGGTACTATATTAAGGAAAAAAATATCTTCATGATGAAAAATAAAATGAGAGATTCGTGGTGTTAATCTTCAATTGGTTTATATAGGTCTTGGTACAATAAAAGTTAACCTGTCAATCTCTATAGTGATACCGGGCCTTGTCTGAACTTTTGGAGGGGCAGGGTTCAAAGTATTGGAATCAGGAAATCTGTTTGGCAGTTGATTTGGATTTCAGAAGTACTTGATGCAGCTTCTCAGCCCAAAGTCTCTGAGCTTCCTGAAGTCCTCTGCTTATATACACTTTGGCCCAAAACTGGTGTGGGGCTGAAGGGTTCTGGGGATTCGGTGATCCTCCAATTTTTATTAATTCCAATAAAGGCTTTCTTTGTTTCCTATTTCTGCTTTCTTAATCAAATTTCCAAATTTGGAGAATTATCCACCTTCCTTGGAAGTGTGACACCATTTAGGGTTGCTAGAAGGAGAAAAGAAAAAGGAAAGAAAAAAAAAAAAAAAAGGCAAGAATTAAAATTAGGTGATAGGAAGCCATCACAAAAAGGACACTAAGTGGTGTTATTTTTCTGACAAGGAAAAGTGGTAAAATTTTTATTTCCTATTGTCGAGAAGGTAAAAAAGAAGATACTGGAATTAATCTGGTTTAGGTTACGGGGCGGGTGGAAATTCCAGGTTGGCCAAATAACCTCAGAGACAGAATTCTAAATAGGTAAATATTTAACTGTATCGCAGGAATGCCCATTTGAGACCTTCCACAGAATTTTAAAGAGATAAAAATTAAATAGGTCATCCGCTGACCGAGAAACAAAAATGTCCGTTGACCACACAAGGGTTGCCAAAACAAAGGACCAAACCATTGGCTATCTAAGGGAAAGTCGTTTGAAAAAGGCATCTGTTTTGTGTTGAAATTCGGCTATGATGGCGAAACTATTTTATCGGATCAGAAATTGGCACCAAGAATGAAAATACGTCTAATTGACCACCCACTTGTTTGGCAAAGGCCCCGGGTGATAAAGTCCAAATGACATTTGGCTAAGATAAGAGACCAAGGGTTCGCTGTTGGGCAGAAGGAAAGAAAGAGAAAGAAAAGAAAAAAAAAAGAGAAAGGAAGATAATTTTTTTTCTTTGAGCAAGATTTTTTTTTAAACAGAGTCTAGTCTAGCCACACAAGAAGTAGTCACAGGGATTGCTTCTCCCTTAACTCCAACCTGCTTCACTTTATATCTTGCACTGCTAAACCACACAGGTGGAGCCAAATTCTTTCCCTTTCTCCTTTCTTCCCAGTATTCTAATTCTGCCTACTTCTCAGGCCTGGCATAACTGTCTTTGTTACAAATCTAATTTTTGAAATGCATAGGAGAAAGAGCATTGTTTATTCTCCTCATTAATTTCAATTTTCTGACTCCTTTCCTGGATCTACTTGATCAGTGAAAAACAAAACACAAACCAGATCACCTTTTCATTTTAACCTACTGAGTGATAGATAAAAGTTATTTCCCAATTTGTTTTTGTCAATGGAAATATATTTGTTTACCTAAATTCTCAACAAAGAGACATACTGTTTTCCATCCTTGGGCCAGTCGCCGTCTTAGTGAAAACATAAACCAGATCACCTGCCTGTTATGATGGATTGATTATCATAATCCTAATCCCCGCACCAGATTCATTTTCTGTTATTTCTCAAATCGTTTTCACTATTGCTTTACCTGCATGCCAGATTTTCGATAGATGATAAAAAAAAAAAACTCTATGCGTCAATTCTAATTTGTAGGGGTGAGGCAACAGAGATGGCCCTTTCTTCACTTCCACATTACCAGTGAAAATGTCTTCCATTCTCTCTTTCTATCTCTCTATCTTCCATTTTGAACTTAAACATTAATTCTAACCAGAAAAATCGCTAACCACCTCACAACTTCAGTGTCACATCATGTTCTGATTAGGTTATTGATATTACAATTTTGATAAAATATATTTTTTAAAAATTGTTCTTTTTATTCTGATGTATTTAAGATTTTAAGAAATTCAGTAAATAACATTGCATTTTCCCAGATTAGACAGAGAAATTAAAACTTAGTCATTTCTATAAACTTTGTCTCAAGAAATGAAAAGCAACTAAGTCATTTGAGGACTTGCCTGAAATCAAAATTTTGTATCTATCGTCTATAATAATGAGTAGATCGTTTGAAATGGCAAATCCATATTTTTTTTTTCTTTCTTAAACACTTCAATGATTTGGTTTTCCTCATTTTTACTTTTCTTAATATTATGTCTGGTGTACTCTTAAAAACGTCATGGTGAGTCCTGAGCAAAGATTAATAATTGTGATGAACAAAACAGATGCTAGTTAAAAACAATAGAAATTATTGAATAATAACAATACTTCATCTCAGAATTTCAGATAAAAAGAAGGCTTGATTCATACTGCTGCATATTTCTAGCATTTATTCTTTTCTAAATTACAAATAGTCATATTTTATTTACATATCATGTATATTTTTTATTGAATTGTTGATAATGGATATTTTTCCTTTATTTTACTTCATTTTTCTTTTCAGGGTGGTTCTTATCCCTCTCTGCTACCTTTCTTGGACTGCATTCTAAAAGGTATTCAAATAGATGACTGTTTTAAAATAATTTAATCCTTTAAAAATAAATTTAAAGCAGACTGAAAAAAAAACAAATTAGTCTAAAAATTGATTAAATCTGCAGTGTGATTGTGTGTGTGTGTAAGAGTATTTAGGGAAAATTAAAATGATCAGACTTGTTTCACTTCTTCTCAATGAAAGGAGTTATTCTTATTACTGAAATAGAGAAACATTATTTTGTATATTAGAAACAGAATTTTTTTTCCGAAGATATAGATTTATTCTAAGCATACTTAAAATGTTGGAATAATTTTTTTTCAAATCATTTCACCCCAAAACAAGCAAGGCAATAAAGCCATTAAGAGGTTACTGAGTATAAGAGAATATGAGGGGGGAAAAACATTGAGGAGAGAGGCCAATAAAAGAAGAGTGATTAAAGAAGACAGAAGATTGCATTTACATTTATGAAGATCAAATTTACATGGAAAGGATGGGACAGTAAAAAAACAGTAATTAAGAAGACCAAAAATAACTTTTGACATTGCATTTGAAGATCAAAGTTGACTGGGCAGCAAGAAACCAGAAGAATTCCACAAGCAACAAGTGTGAAAGAAGACGCTATAGCATGGCACTTATGGTTACATGTAGCAATTTCAAGAGAGGAAGTGAGGAGCAAATCAAGTAAAAAAAAAAAATATTGATCAGATTTAATATATGATTAAAGTCTGAGTTCATTTTTTTGGAGACAACAATAAGAAAAGAATAAAATTCATGATAAATAATCAAAAAATAGATTTTTATTTTTAGAATTAAATCTTAGAAGAATTTATTTTCTTTCAGCCTGTGTACTTGATTATGAATATGAAAACCAGTTTACAAGTCACATTCAGCTTTTGCATAGCACAGCAGCAGCCAGCACACCATCAGGATGTTATGTGCTTCAACATATTCTTCCAAAAATTCTTCAGATGTACAAAGATGCTGTTCAGGTAAAATTAAGCTGTTAAGAATCTTTTTAATTTTTTCTCTTTTCTCTCATTTTATGTCTACATTTCTCTCTTCTTCTCTTCAGTTTATTTCATATTTCTTTCATTTTTCTGTTCTCTTTTGGGCAATACAGACAATTGAAATATTTCGGGTTTTTTTCCAAGCCTACTAAGTAAGAAATCATTTTTTGGTAACATGCAGTATTTTAAATATCTGGAAATCATTGTATCTTTAAAGACTGTTAATCAAATTAAAAAATAACTTTTTTGTAATCCTCATATAGTAGTCATTTTGCTGTAGAATCCTTATTCTTTCACACAGTTACTTGTTTTCTTGTAAAATCCCATTTCTAATGATATTTATTCCCTTCCATTCATTCTTTGTTTCTGTTTTTGCAAGAATACAAAAAAAAATTTCTCTTTGAATTTCAGACAAATCAAAAAGGACTCATTCTTAATTGTTTTCATGGTTTCATTCTTGCCACAAGATCTGCCTCTATTACCACTGCTGGTGAGTACTGCACAGATTATAAGAAGCAAAGGAGAGATGAATGCATCTTTTTTTTTTTATATATATATATATATATATAAAATTTCTCACTTACCTGGTTTTTGTAGACAAACTTTTTTTGTAATCGTTCAATCCACTTGAGTGGGGAGGGTATCAGCAATTGACTGATACCACCTGATGAATTGAATGAATGATTACAAAAAGATTTGTCTATGAAACTCTAGAGTTGGGGTGCAGCTAAGTGACATATTTTATATTTGTATTAAACCAATTAATACCCTATATCTGATATCGAGCACTACTGTAAAGACTGCTTGCCTTAAATGTCCTTTCTTTCAGATTTCCACTGATTGGCCACATTTCTGCCTTTACACTATCTTTGTTATTGCTATTATTTATATAAATATAGACAAAGAAAAACCTTTCTAAGGCAACACATTTTGTCCTCTGGACTAAAGGCAAATGTAAGGATTTTATTTTGAAAACAAGTATTTATAAACAGGAGTAAAAATTTCTGCAAGTTTCACCAATATATTGTAGGGAACAGTTTTTTTTTTTTTTTTTTTTTTTTTAAGTTCCAAAGTATTATTGTTTCAGTAATTTTCTATTAGTAATGTGATAGCCTTTGTACACTGACAAAAAGATTGTATTTCGTGTTCTAAATTAACTTTCTGTAAAATTTACATTTCAAAGTCTTTACAGCATCTTGGTTATCCGAACACGCCTCTCTTTCACTTGGCGTTTTCTGTTTTACAGCATATCCTCTTTTATTATCATTATTATTATTTCAGGGGTGATTTCGCTCCTACCACATCATAACAAATAACACCAATGTTTTTTGTGAGGATGACCAGAGAATGATTGAAAGAGCTGTCAATTTCTGTTTAGTCTTGAATTTTTTTTTTTATGTTCTCATGGGAAACTACATGAAAATGAAATTATTTCTTAGTATAATACATGTCTAAAATATATATTATTTGTTTATTTCTTTTCTTTTACAAATATGAGTGCTGTATTTTAAATTCTTTCGAAAGAGCTTTTTTATACACATCAAAATAATTCTTGTGTTATTTATTTTACCATTCACTGTAGATTTTCACTTAGAAATTTTCAAAATGGGTGACGTGTTTAAGTGTTCACAAGATTTATTGATTTTTTTTTTTTCATGTTTTAAAATTAATTTTTAAATGATATCAAATTATTCATGATCTAAAATTTTATAATCTGTAGTTGATAAACAAAAGGAATGAAATTCTTTTGAACTGTTTGTATGCTGATGCATTCCTTTTAAAATACATGAAAAGAAGTAACCCATTTTGAAAATCACTAAGTGTGAAACAGCATTGTTAATGAGTAAATTGAGCAAAAATACCATTTGTATGTGTGTGGATGAGTGAGAGAGAGTGTGTAAAATCTTCTTCAATGAAGCATCCAACAAAAGTCAAAATAACTAACAATGGTTTTGTGAAAGTTAAGTAATTTCACAAGTTATTACAAATTCAGTCCTTACCAATCACTTTCTATAATTACATCTCTGTACCTATGTTATTCTGTGTGTATAAAATCACATGAAATCGGAGTTTAACATGTTTGGTTGAAATTCTTCTACAGTGAACAAAACTTTGGCTCTCTCTTTCACTCATTTATTCACACTGATAACTTTTGTTATTTATTTTTCCAGAAGAAAGTCCAGTTTTTCAGCATCGTGATGAGATTTTCACAATGCTTTTGTCTACATTCAACAATACCAGTGTTCTGCTTTGCAAAACTGTTGTCAAGTGTCTTGACTCTCTCCTTGACTATCATGGTGTCCTCAACAACACAGACAAAATACTAATAGTTGAGCATATCTTCATTCTCGTTCAAAACAAAGATGAAATGCTCAGGTAAATGCATATGCTCTCTTTACCATTTCCTTAAACATTTTTTGTTGAAATGATTTTCAATGAATGCATATTATTAATAAAAAAAATAAAACAATGTTTATATCTGTTAATTTTTATAAAATACCTGCTCTTGGTAATTTTATAATACATAATTCTAAAATAGTCAATAAAACTAGATCTCACTCTCCATGGACTAACTATTGCACTACAATGAGGCACTTAAGAAGTAAACTCATCTTTGGCACAAAGCCATGTTTCTGAATTACAAGATAAGAATTGAATTCCTTTTTTCCAGTTCACCAGTTTTTGTCTCTGTAATATTGAAATTGTATGTTTTGTAATTTTCATTCTTTCAGAAGTCAGTGCATAACCATCCTGTCTAATATGTCTTCTATATCACCTGACATTGTCAAACAAAATGTCCTGCCACAGTTATACCAATCATTAAAGAAAAGTAAGCTATACAAATATTTTCTTTTATGTCTAATATGCAGAAGCCACTGAGTATAGAAGAATAAAACATATAACATTAAAATGTTTTACCTTTGTTATTTTTTCCATATAGCATTTATACATGATACTTCATTTTAACTTTTATATCATGCCATTGCATTAAAAGTAGCATTTCATTTTTTTTTTTATCATCATTTCACCTCAAGCAAGGGATCAAGCCACTAAGGTGTTAATGAGTGTGAAAGAATTTGAGAAAAGAAAACATTAAGGAGGGAGACCAATAAAAGAAGAGTGATTAAAGAGACAGAAGATGACAATTGACATTGCATTTACATTTATGAAGATCAAATTTACCTGGAAAGCAAAAAGCTGGAAAAGAATTCCACAAGTGAAAAGTGTGAGAGAAGAAACTATTAGAATAGAACTTATGGTTACATCCATCTAGCAAATATAACATTAAAATGATGAGAACTAGCTGCTAATCTGCACCTAAATTTGTAAAGTCAAGGTACCAAAAAGGATAGCTCAATCAAACAAATGTGCAAATATTTATAGAAAGTCAGGAAAACTATGTTATGTGGTGGGAAAGTGACTAAGGCTGAGATGCTAGGTCAGGATTTATGACATTGCAGATTCTTTGAATTTTATCAAGAAAAAGCTTTTCATAGATATTGATTTAATTTTCATAATGAAAGTTCCCAGATTGATGATCTGAATGAGCTGAAGTTGTTCCTACTATAGTATAGCCTGAACTAGATTTTACTATTGTATAACCTGAATGACCTGAAGTAGATCTTAATATTGTATAACTTAGTTGACATATCCATGAACTCATGATCAGAACATGGTTTGACAATTGTCTTGTGATGTTGACTGTGTATGTTATACTTATTAGGTCTGCCTCATAAATAAAAACATTTTTTTTTATTCCACACTGTATAATTATAATTTGATAAATCTATTGTACTGTGTATGTAGACATGCATAATCTATTAAAAAACAAGACAATAATTCTAAAATATATCTTTCTCACCAATTACTATTTTTATATTGAATGTTCTCTGGTTTATTTTAGTTTAGTCTTTCATACTTTAGCTCTTTATGTGAGATTTAATTTATACTGTCAGTAATGGAATTATTTTAGGGTGCATTACATGTGTGTATAGGACTAAGGTGACAAATACAAAGCAAGAAACTGGTAGTTGTGAAGGTCAGTCACATCAGGAGGATTACAAGAAGAGAAATAGCAATCAGAAAAGAATTTATTCCTTATGCAGATAAAATCTTTACTTTTCAATTCATCAATTAAATCAATGTCAATTCAACATTTACTGGAGGATGACTTAGACTACATTTTAATGGAATGAAAATGCGATAATATATACTAACCAAGCTGAATTGGTGATGTTATTTTATTCTTGGAAACTTAACTGCCTTTAAAATAAAAATGATAAAAGTTGGTGTAATTTATTTTATTTCTAAATTTGCTTTCCATGGGTCATTTTCTTTAAGAAAGTCAGAAACTCATACTGCATTAAAAGATTTTAGCTCACAACTTATATTCCTCTTCTCTTTTTCAGTGGAAACAATAAATAAAAATAATGAAAGTTGTTGGCAATCAGTTCTTACAACATTGGAGGTATTATCTTCAGTTTGTAAAAACCCTTCCATGACGAAACTTGTGTTACCTGAAATCTGGGCATGGCTTGAAAATTTATTAAGAGGTGAGGCAGGTATTTATTTATTTTTTTTTTTTTTATTGATTATTAACAAAATTGTCTGGAATAATCTAGGATTACATCATAGAGATTTAACAGCAGTGTAAATGATCATATATATATATATATATTCATAAAAGTATCTTAATAATCAAAAGAGAATAAATAGTTGAATAAAAGTTTATAATTTCAAACAGCAGACAAAAAATTAAAATTTTCTATAATACTAAGATGTCATTTTTCTTCATCTTGATTTTTTTTTTTTTTTTTACAATAATGTTTTGGTTGACCTATACAGGTCATCTTTTCTTTTTCCTCCACTCCCCACAAAAATTGATGTTATTGCCATTTTTTAGTGTTGGACAATCTGTATACCTAATATTGCATATGACTCAAGGTTGTAATTTATTGTGTGTCATCCAAAAATAATTTGACTCCCTTGACCTATTCCACTTAGTGCACTGAACTGGTTCTGTCCGAGGGCACTGGGCTTGATTTTTGGCTTGTTTCATTTGAAAACAATGACAAATTTGTCAGTGGGGAATCATTTGGACCGAGTTGAAAGAAATGTTGGCAAATGTACTGATATGACCAACTCATTTAAAGCAACACTTTGTTTTAATATTTTTGTTTTGTTTACTATCAGTCTTGAGTTTACACTACAAAAGGAAAAGTCTATAAAAAAGGTAGGTCAAAACATGGTAATAACAAAAGTAAAAAGAATGAATTCAGTAATCTTGAAGAATTTTTGAAATTAAAGTAACTCTATGAAAGTTTGCCTAGGTTGATTGATGCAAAAATCAACAACAATGAAATTTTTTAAATTTTCTTAATATTGGATATTTTTTGACATGATCTTCAAACTAGAAATGTACAGGTATACCCCACCCCATGTCATTAATTGGTTCCGGAAGTCAGGACTTAAGTTGAAACACCACTTAAATCGAAATAATAATAACCACTCCTCATTCCATATTATAGTATTTATGATATGTACATAGCAATAAAGGAATGGTCTGGCAATTTTTTCCAATATAATCCAGTTTTGTCAACGTTAAAAATCTGTTCTGGAAGAAACCTATTTTCTTCAATGATCTTAGCCAATGCTTTAGGAAAATCGGCCGCTGCTTGTTTGTCAACTGATGCACTTTCACCTTGCTTAATGATGATAATTTCTTCATTCTTTAAATCCCATAAATCAGTCTTGACTCACTTTAAACTTTACATCTTTCTCATCTGGGTATTTTTTGTTCAGGTCCTCAAACAAAAACAATGCTTTTGCTTAAATGATTTCTTGACTAATAGCAGCATGCTGATGATTCAACCTATCACTCCAAAGAGAAAGAAGTTCCATCTCTTCAAAGATTTTTTTTCTCTTTTCTTATTGATAACACTATTCTTCATCCCTGGGGCATCAAATTTAATATGTGCCAAAATCTTATCCTTATTGTGAACAATCGCCAATACAGTTGTCAGACTTGTCTCAAAAGATTGAGCAATCGATATAACCTTTTCACCTTTTTCATGGCGTTTTATCATAGTAAGGTTATTGTCCAGTATCATAGCATGATGCTTGGCACTTGCAATAGGAATTTTCTTAGGGGCTATTGGACAAAATATAAAGTCACAACTGAATGAGAATGTGAGAGTAGGCAATAAGCAGACTTATACCATGTGTATGCCTAAACTAAATGGGATTTCAATTTCACATGAATCACAAGTGGCACTGACAACACTGCCAAACGGTAGATATTGGGACTACTGTGGAAAATGCTCTTAAAGATCACTAAATAAGACAACACGGTCACTGTTTTCATATTTTGTTCTCTAGAATTTATGGTGATTATATTAACATTTATTGTAGATGTACCTATTTTAATACGATTTTATATACTTTTATTCTTATTTATTGTACAGTAACATGATTTTATGTGCTTTTAATGCTTTTCTAATGGTATTACGTCTTCAATATTTGTGGCAGACAGATGTAAAGTCGAATAAAATGACTTAAACTTGATTATTATTTTTCCATTTTTTTCTTTTACAAACGACATATAATTGAGAATGACATAACTCAAAATGACATTACCCAAGGTATACCTGTATTGTTTCTTATTTGAAGGATTAAAAGTGAATAGTAATGAAAATATAAAAGATGATGAATAGAAATTATAAATTTGAAGAAATATGAATATTAATAAATATTAACAAAATATGCTCCTTTACTATCATTGGTGACATTATTTAAGATAAGTATTTTGTCTATTGTTTTAGCCTTTAATATTATTACAAGCTCACTTTTTTCTTATAGTTTACTTTTGCTTTTTTATAACTTTCAGATATCTTCTGCTTTTCTGCATAAATTTCTTCAAGGCTGCTTGATTTCACTGCTTAAGAAAATAAAAATAAACAGGGATGTCAACTCAAACATGTGTACCTATAAATAACATTTGTAGTAATAAGTTGCTTCTATATTCAACATACTTTTCTGGTTTTTTTTTTTTTTCTCAGCAATCCCTATTTTATACACGTTTCATTGAACATAACTGTCAAGGTACTACGTTTAAGCTTTTTATTCAATTTTTCTTATGTTGGTCATATTGGACATACCACTACAAGCCTATCAAGGAGGTTCATGTTTCATCTCATAGTTTGATTAGGACCCATTTAAATACACAGAAACCTACCAAACTCCATCCATAGCTTGTAGAAAATACAGCTTTAATATAAGTTAAAAATAATGGAAAGATTAATAATTAAAAAAAAAAATGCCAACTATTATCAATTATGAAAACAGCCACAATCATGTTTGGAAAATAAAAAAAAAACATTCCATTGCTATAGATACACAATTTACATATTCTGTTAAAAATAAATTTTAAAAATCCTTGATAATAGCCGAAAACACTCTGATATATAGAATATTTGTACCGTTTTTTACACACAGAAAAGAAAACATGAACACAGGAAGAATTGAATAAAATGCTTAACCACAGAACATTGTCAGTCATCTTTAATTTTAGATGCAAGTTGAAGTTATTTGTAGATTTTTTGCTATTGCTCTATCAACTGATGCTGAGGGATCTTTTCATAATGACTGCTTCTTTTGTCTTTTTTAACCAAGCAATGCAGTAAAGCCACTAAGGCATAAGAGATTACTGGGTGTAGAAGAGTTAGAAAACAGGAATTTTACTAAGGAACAAAAGAAGAGTAATCAGGAGGACAGCAAATAGTGATTTAAATTTTTGAAGATTAAAGTGGACTGGAAAGCATGGAGCTAAGAGTTCCACAAGCGAGAAGTGCGAGAAAAGAAACTATTAGCATAGAACTTACGATTACATCTAGCCATTTCAACTGTAAATTGGTGATACCTCATTGCCAATTTAGTACCATGCTTAAATTCATAAAGACTACCATGGCAAAGATTTCATCTGAACTATTACCATCGAAGTATTTATAGAAAAAGCACAAGGATGCAACTTTACAGTGGTAGGAAAGTGACTGAAGCTGAGACACCAGACCAGATATTACTGATTCTTCTTTGGATTTTTATCAAGGATCTTTAGATATGTAGCAGGAGCACCATGTTAATAATATTTATTTTGTGTATATGTGCACGCACACACACACACACAATAAATATTTATATAATACACACATGCACAAATTCTGTTAATAAGAAAAGTTATAATTTTATTAATAATCAAAATAACATTTTCACTTTCTGTTTGCCACTTTTCTTTTGCAAAAATAGTGAGGAGTAAGAAAAAATATTTTTATTTTAGACAGGTAGAGAATGGTTGTTGCCATTACATTATCAATAAAATGAACAGTTTTCATTGGGAATAGATAATTTTTTTTTTTTATTCTTCATTTATTGTTGGCTCTTTTTAGATGATATCAACCAAAAGTCAGAAGTGACTGAACTATGTCATGAGGTATTAAAAGCCATTGTTAAAATAGTTGCTTATACCTGTGAAAGTGACTCTGTCCTGTACCTTGATTATCTTTACACCTGGTTTGTACCCCGTTTGCTACAATTGACCATTCCACACTTACTGGACAGTGGCATTTCACTCTCAGCAATTGGCATCATGGAAAGTGGAGCCACCATTCTGAGAGACATTACAACCAAACTTGACAAAAGGTAATTTCCTTTAATTTAGCATTTTTGTTTGTTTGTTTTTTATTGCCTTACTGTTGTTGATTTTGATTTTGAAGTCTCCTCTATTTTTCGTTTCAATTTTTAATGTCATTTTTAGTTTAGTGTGGAGATTACATTTTGTAAAGATTGTGAAGTTTAGTGTGGAGATTACATATTCCCAATAAATTTTAGTTTTATCTACAGTAGCGGCCATAATATAAGGAACGGAAACAACAAAGACATAAATATGTGTATTACTTAAAAAGTAATGCCTGATTAGCAATGAAATTTTTACCGAATAAAGATTAGGGTGTAATGCATAAATATTATACAAAGTTACAAAAATTTACATAATAGTTTTTTTTTTTTTTTTTTAAATAAAGATTAAATGGAACAAAGGAAATAAGCTACTGGACAAAAGTTAAGGAACGATCTTGTTAATACTTGATTGTGAACAAAATATCAGCAAAATTTAATATTTGGTAAACATCCCCTTATTTTCAATGACTTCTCTGCATCATCGACCAAATGATCTAATTAATTTCTTGCAAAAATCAGCAGTAATTCCCTCCCATTCGTCTTTCAATAATTCCCATAGGTGATCCTGGTTTTTCGGGTTTCTTTTCTGAGCCCTTTCTCCAATTATCTTCCAAACATTTTCTATTGGATTCAGGTCAGGGCTCTGGGCTGGCCACTTCATTAGGGCAATTCCTTCTTCTTCAAATAAAGCCATAACCTTCTGAGCCTTGTGGCAAGGTGCATTGTCCTTCATGAAAATAGGAGATTCATAAAGATTATGGTGTAATCTTGGTACCACAAGAAGAAGCCTTTTGTAAATCTCAGCATTGATATTGCCATGTACACGGATGATAGGACCAACTCCTGCAGATGAAATCATTCCCACACCATCACCCTGCCGCCACCAAACTTAACGGTTTTCTTGACACATTGAGAAGACAGTCTTTCACCTGTTCTACGGCGTACGTAAGTTTTGTCCTCACAACCAAATATAGTAAACTTGGACTTGTCACTGAAATGAACTGTATCCCATTGTGCGTCAGTCCAAACAACGTTCTCTCGCATACTCCAGGTGTGCCCTTTGGTTTCGCTTTGAAATGAGAGCCTTCGAAGCTGGAATACGGGCATGCAATCCTGCATTTTTTAACCTGCGAGCAACCGTTTTCCTTGAGATCTTATCTGTTTCTTACGGGCAATTGATGTAGCAGTTTCAAAACGGTTTTTTGTAGTATTCTAACAATTCTCCGATCTTCTCGGAGGTCTGCCGGTTTTTGGTTTTGCATCTATCGGTTTTATACCTGCTAATTACACGATGAATGACACTTTTAGACCTATGAACAACATCAGAAATTTCTGAAATTGACTTTGTTTCTTGATAGTTAGCAATAATGAGTTTTTTTTCTCCAAAAGAGTGTTTTGCGTGTAGAATTTGCCATATTGCTTAAAAATAAAGTTCTAATGATAAATGAACTTTTACTTATTGTTGAAAAGCTCCATCGTGTTTTTTAACAATGTAAATTAAAAGTTTATGCAAATTATTAACATCGTTCCTTAACTTTTGTCCAGTAGCTTATTTCCTTTGTCCCATTTAATCTTTATTTTTTAAAAAAAAACTATTATGTAAATTTTTGTAACTTTGTATAATATTTATGCATTACACCCTAATCTTTATTCGGTAAAAATTTCATTGCTAATCATGCATTACTTTTTAAGTAATACACATATTTATGTCTTTGTTGTTTCTGTTCCTTATATTATGGCTGCTACTGTATATTGACATCTTATCTTAAATTAGTTAATCACTTTAAATATTAACTGGGAAAATTACATCTTCAATGACTTAGACATTTTGTGTATCACTTTCTTTAGAGTTAATAAATAATAGAAACTCAGTCTGTCTATATTTCTGAGAATAATGTACATAATAGAAACTATCATTTAAATCTTATGCAAGTTGAACTATTGGCCCTAAGTAATATATATATTTTGAAAGTTCAAAATGGGCACTTTTTTACAGATTAAAATGTTTGTTTGAATTTTCTATATATTATAATATCATATTTAAGGATTAAAATAAAGTATATATTAGAATTGTGTTGTGGTTGTAATGCCTGTTAATTACAACAAAAGCAATATAATTGAAAAAAGAATTTTGGATAACCTGGGTAGATGCTGCTCTGTTAGTCTGGATTGATTTAAAGAGGTTTTTCCCAAAATATCTTTTATTTTATTAAATTTGTGCAATGATAATAAAACTTGACACCATATGCTATAATTCTTTTAGTCTGAAAGGAAAAACCTAATATGTGTGATGACTTTTGTGGCAAAATTCTATTTGCATATACAACCAACTCGTTATGTTCACAGGTTTGTCTTCTTGGCTGTGATTGTATTCAATAAAAAATAACGACAATTGATTTTAAAGACACTTGTTGGGAGTTACCAATACAATTTCTCACTTAAACTTGGGATCCTTCCTTCAGCTTCAAGAAGTGGACTGCTATCTTACTAACTCCTGGCCATGGAAAAGGACCCTTACATTCACTGCCTGTCACTTCAGTCACTGCTGATTCCTCACACCTGGTTGCTGGGCAGCTACTAATTCACTAGTTAACCTACCTACCTACTTCCCTGCCTAGTGAACCCCTTTCTTCCTGACTTCCTGCCTCTCTCCGCTTATATGGATAATGGCTGGGGTCCCACCCACCTATCCATTCACTTGTGTTCCAGAAGGTTTGAGACCACCCATTTGGCTTTTTGGGTGGTTAACTTCTTCAAAAAACCTACTTTGATGACTTTCTAAAATCATTGATAAATTTTTTATGTTTCCCAATTCAAAGGCAGCTGTAGACATAAATTCCCAAAACATTGATACTTAAGTTTACTCAAAGATGAACTGAAGACAAAAATCTACAAAACTCAGATAACTAAGTGGACTTAAAAGAAATTTATCTACTTATCTTCTAAAGATGTGTGATTAATTGTATTGTTACATATATATTAATCAATAGATCTTAATAGTGTTATTTTAGGGATAAACGGCTTCTATTATTATTATTATCATCATTGTTTATTAACCTTGAAATATAAAAACTGGATTCACTACAAATCTAGACTGCTTAGCTTTGTAATTTTTACAAATTCCTTTCTTTCCATCTTCACTAATACAAATTTATTGTAGCCACTTCAAATCTGATTTTTATAAATACACAAAACCATTTTCATTTATTATTTTGTCTCAGTATTGTGCCAATATTTTTTTTTTTTTTTTTTTTTTCAGTTTTCTTTCTTCTGCTCCAATATTCCCTGTCTGTTGTATTATATATCTTCTTAATGTTGCTAACCTTTCAAAGACATTTAATTTGCAAAGTAGAATGTGATGGGGAATGGTTATTCCTTTCCAAATATGATGTCAGTCCTTATAGTAAGGATGAATGTTTTAATGATAGTGAATGAGACTTGTGCAGCTCTTTCTTAGATTAGTTTGAATACCAGTAAGATTATAGTCATGCAAGCTTACTGGTGATGATGGAACAAGAAGAATTGGCATCAACTTTTTCTAAAGGACATTAAGAAGAAAGTGTTCTAAACATAAATTAAACATGAGGATTGTTAGATTCACTCATCTCAAAAAAACTGATCACTCCCTCTCTTATTCTTTTTCCCTTTTACACAAACTATTTCCTTTTAATTACTGTTCCTAATGTGTGTAAGCTGACATAATTTACCAAAAATGCTCCCAGTGGGTGTGCAGGTAGTGTAATGGATAACAGCTCAGAATGAGAAATTTGAAATCTGAGTTTGAATTCCAGTTGGCTTCATTATAATCATTTAAGCACAAATACCCTTCAGAAGCGGGCTATAAATCTAACTCCTCCCTGAAGCTATGGAAAAATCCATTGAAAAATTGTTCATGCAATATTCACTTGCAAAAAAAGAAATATTCTTACAATTCAAAATATGTTTTGGCTTTAAATAACCCATAAAAGGTTTGTAAACTGTAAAAAGAAAATCAATCTCCTACCACCATGCTTATCTAGCAAAACACTATAAAAACTTTAAGAATATATTGGCCTCAGTAAATCTTTTCTTGAATAATTAATTTTATAAAATTATGAGATGCTGAAAAATCTGACCAAATGTCAGAATTATTTTTGGAAGGATTTCTCATCTGGTCTGAGAATTTTCACTTATCCCTCATGTGTGAATATGCTCAGAACTATACAAATTGAAATTAAGGATGCTTGTAAATATTTTAAGATTAATTTTTATCCATTAAAGTTATTTTTTGTTTTTAATTTAAATTTAAACAACCGAGGAAAATATTTTTACACATCAATGAAAATTAAAAAAGGAAAACATTTAGAAAATTTGTCATATATGTCTGTTAGAAAAGCATTCAGAATTGACTTACTATTATGTAACATAGCACTGAGGTCAGGTGAAAAGTGTTTTCATTGACAGCTGCTTTGAACTTACTCTTTTAACAAGTAACTGTAAATAATGATTTTCTATGTTATTGAATTTAATTTTCAAAATAAAAATCACTATGATCTGACATTCAGCTAATATTTAATCTTTTTTCATGTAAGTTGTTTTAAGAATCAAAAACTGAAAATGTTGTAAATCATTGTGATATTGCTAAAATCAACTTTTTGCTGAGAGAATTGTTAAATTTTGTAATTCCATCATTATATAATAACTGATGAGGTTTTATATATATATATAGGAAAATATATAGCCTGGATGTCTTACTCCACCAGTCAATCTTTCCCATCTCCATTGTGTTTATATTTTTGATCTTAGGTAGCTTTAGGTAAAGCTGGTAGAAACACCTTCAGAAGCTAAAGAAGTGAGTTACAAGAAAAATAAGAAAGGTAGTAATTTCAGAACTGACAACTGTTGGAGAAACAACAAAATAGAATTTATTTGCTGAATGTTACATTTATCAGTCTCCTAATTCATCTTGTGCTGTTTTCTACCTAAATACAACTGGTTGGTGAGTTAGCGAATGTCAGTCTTATTCAAAAAAATATCACAACAGCAGTGCCTTGGATTGGTGAATGGTGGTTGGTTTCACATTTCAATCAGGGAACTTTGGTTTCGGACATGCAGGCAAACTTGGTCTCCAAAACCTGACCTCTAACTCTTTCATTCAATTGTCAGTCTGTAATACAAACTTTTTCTTAGACTAAAGAAAATCTCTTCAATTGACCAAATTCTTCTTGGTAGTATCTTGCAAGGGATCATGGAGTAAGTGAAAAAGAGGGGTTATAATACCAACTACAATTATACATTTCATCCCAACTGCCTGTATTCCTCTTAATAACTGTTCTGTCTCAATTACCTGTGTGATTGCTCCTGTCTTATATTAATGGGAATACATTTCTTTCAGGTGTCACGTTACAAATTAATTTGCATATGTGCATAATAACAGAACTAGAGTAAAGGTTTTGATGACATTGGTCATCCGAATATTTGACTCCAATAAACAATGAGGGCAGAAAAGGTAGATAGATTTAAAAAAATAACAAATTCTTTTACTACTGAATTTTTGCTAGGATCCAACCTAGTTTAGTGTCTGCTGGTTTATCTTGCTAGTCATTTTTTCAGCCGCAAATGTGGGTGAAGGATGTGTGTTCCTTCTTTCACTTGGAAAAAATTAGTTAAAAATCTAGTCGATTCCAGATCACAATTAATTTTATTGTAATGATTTTTTTCATTTTTCCAAAAGCCTACTAGAAAAACCAGACCTCATGATACTTCTGGTTTGCTTGTAAAATCCAAGTTAGCTTGGCTATCTTGGTTTTTCACATCACTTTGTTAATTGCTATTCCAATTGTCACCAAGTATAAATTTCCCTTACTGGTAAAATCCATGTCAGTAGCTCTGTTACATTCCTTCCTCAAACATGTGATTTTTACCCTACCTGGTAACTTACAATCATTCATAGCAGTTCTTATTCCACTCAGTCACCTACTTATAAAATCCACCCCAGTAACTCTGTTACATTTTGTTTAGTTTGTCCCCTTTAAAATAACACATTGTTAAATCTTTTTTAATTGTTAACTGAAGGTCTACAAGGAAGAATTACATTCAGCTATCTTTAGCCATATATAGGGTTATTCCTCTATCATGGATAGACCAGATAGATGTATCCTACTATTGAAATGGTGATAAAATTTCACCTTGGTTTATCCTTGTTTATTATTGTATTTGCTGGCATTGAGGACACTTCCCAATATTGGCTTGAAAAATGTTGAAAAAAATAAACATAAAATTAAAGTACACTATTTACATTATTCGGACTATTGTCCTCATCTTTGTCGCCATATTTATCACAACGTTTCAGCTGTTGTACGCTCCGGCCTTCTTCAGGTGGTTGGAATGTTGAACTGAACCCTTTATTTCACTCACTGGGGTAGACTGTTCTAGTTACACGTGCCATGGATGTCAGTTATCAGTTATCTCCAAGCTCTCCACCACCTTAACCAGGTATTGAACTCACACTCTTTGGGTCCTATCACTGGATCTAACTAACACCTTTATCCACTGTGCCATGTGTCCTTGAGGACATCTGTGCATGAATTTCTGGGTATTATAAACCTAATGTCTTCAGCAACCTTTTTTTTACCAGAGCTCATATTGCAATTTTTCGATACAGTTCACAACGGAGAAAGAGAGTAACAATACACTCACATTCATGGATGTTCTAATATCTTGAACAGAGAATGGGTTCAAGACATCTATATACCATAAACCGACATTCACCGGACAGTTTCCTCAATTTCAATCCCACCATCCATACAGCGTAAAGAAAGGGATTGCCCGTTGCTTACAACACTGAGCAAAAGTCATAAGAGGCGACCCAGAGACATTAGATAAAGAATTGGTCAGTATAAGTAGTACCCTACAATGTAACAACTACTCTGGGAACATGGCAGCAGCCCCAATAAACTGGGATAGACGGGTACAAAAGGAGGACAACAACACTCAGAAAACAGTCTGCCTGCCTAATGTGAAGGGGTTATCAAAGAAAATACAAAGGATCTGCGGTCCATATAACATCAGGACAACCTTCAAAAGCTGAACGACACTTTGCAGACACCTCTCTCAGATATCTCTCCCAAGTAAGACACACCCCCAAGAGTGGAACATGACTAAAGACTGTGTGTACGCTATCCTGTGCAGCTACAGAAAGAAATATAAAGGGGACACATACCCAGAAATTCATACACAGATGTCCCCAATACCTGGTTAAGGTGGTGGAGAACTTGGAGAGGGGAATTAACAGGAGATAACTGATAGCTGACATCTATGGCACGTGTACCTAGAACAGTCTACACCAGTGAGTGAAATTCCAGTGACATTCCAACCACCCGAAGAAGGCAGGAGTGTACAATGGCCAAAACATGATAAATATGGTGACGAAGATGAGGACAATAGTACGAATAATGTAAATAGTGTACATAATACCTCATCTCAGAAATATAGACAGATACAAAATTAAAGTAATCCTGCAAGGGATGATTTAAGATTTATTTTGGGTAAAAAAAAATGTTTTGATGTGAGAAAATATTTTTTCTTTATATATAGCAATAATTTTAGCATTTAAATTCTGCCATGACTAATTCATCATTTGATAATGTCAATGATATTTCCTAAAAGTACAATTTTTTTTTTTTTTTTTTTTTTTTTTTTTTTTCCAGGAAAGCAGAGGTACTGTGTGAACAAATTATCTGCCTCTTTCTTCATGAGGATAAGAATGCATTCAACATAATGCTAGCATCTGATTGTAAATTCCAGCCTTTGAAGGTAATGGATTAAATGCTTCTTAATGCTTAAGTTTTTTCCTCTTTTTCATGATGGCCATAGAAATATCCGGGCAAAATGGAGATATATATATATATATATATATATATATGTGTGTGTGTGTGTTACAATTAATGACATCCAAACAATTTACCTCATACAGAGGATCATTTCGTCCATTGGAAAGTAGTTTTTCCCTGGACTTATTGATGCAAATACATTTCCTAAAATGTTTCTTCACATGAAATTTGAAAGGCAAAGGAAGGAAAAAAGAAAGAGGAAAGAAAATATCAATTGATAAGCACAAAGCATTGTATGAAAATGCCCTCCAGAAATGTGGTTTTGCACATAAACTATCTTGCTTAAACCTTCACAAATAACCATAGTGAAGTTAAGAGTAGTAATCTTTGAAAAAGTAGAGAAAGAAATATTATTTGGTTCACCTCCACCCCTTCTGTAGACTATCTAGAATTAATATTGGACAAATTTTCCTGAAACTTATAAACATTATCAAAATAACAACTCTCTAGGTTAGATCTTCAATAGAAGAACCATAAAAATAAGTTATTCATGTACTAACAACATTAATTGTAATTCACTTATATGCTCTATAATAAAAATTACATTGTGCTCTCTTTTGTGGATCAGTTTTAATATTTTATATTAACAGGATGTACTTGGATTACTTGCCCATGGATTTTTCTCTCTCTCTCTATATATATATATATATATATATATATATATATATATATATATATACACACACACACACTATAAAATGTAGAACTCACATGATCCTTATAAGGCATTTGAAAACACTTGGTTATGCTACAATATTTGGCTGTCTCATGATTTAACAAAAAAAATTTAATAGACTGCATTTTTATCTGCAATTCTCTGCTGGAATTCAACAAAAATTACCCATTTTGTAAAGGAGCAATCACAATTGTTTTCAACAATATGAGGTGGAAAACTTAATGAGTCACTGTTAGCCAATCCAAAAGATGGTCTGAATCTGATGAAGATGATGCTGTGTACCTGGTGGGATTGGAAGGGTATTGTGTGTATTATGAGCTCCTGCAAAATCAGACATTGAATTCTGACAAATACAGTCTATAACTGGACTGATTAAAGGCAGCAATCAATGAAAAGCATCTAGAATTAGCCAATTAAAGGCTTCAATCAGGACAATGCCACGCCACACCTCATGTTTTCGCAGACCCAGCAGAAATGTGCTCACCCAGCTTTTCAGCGACTGGCTAAGGATTATCTCATGTTGTCCCTGTTCTAGCTTGAGTTATTGTGTGCACCAAAACCTAAGAAAAAGCACACTGCAAATTCACAATAATATGAAAAACAAACACTATATTTTGAAATGATAATACAAACTCTGTTTCCCATATTATAAAAATTGGTGGTGTTATTCAGGATTTTGCTTGCTTGGTTTGGGTGGTTAGGTAGGTAGGTGACACATGGAACAACTTCTGCTATGTAGGTCTAACAGCTCAGTTCTTCCCACTACCAATTCTTGAACCATCTACACACCCTGATGTGCGGCTGGTATTGGAACCACACGATGGACAGTCTGTCTTCTGCCAAGAGTATACCAAAACTGGTTTCCCCCAATCATAAGCATAATTGTTAATATAGACCAGAAACTGGATATGCTCTATATCCAGTTTTGTTGTCACTTGGTCTTGTTTAATCTTTTGTTCCCTTTTTTTCGTCAAAGAGGATGCTGCTTTAAAAATTTCAAAGAACCCATTCACTGGTAATAAAACAGAAACATTTGAGACTGAGATAAAGTCACATCTTCCTCTTCTACGGAGATGGACCAACCATCACCATGTCATTTATAAAAAAATTTATAAATTACAAACAGAAAACAAAATTAATCAGTTCAAATTCCCTGAAAAGCAAATAACATCCTTTTACTAATTAAAATGTCAACTTCACATTTTAGGATCTTGTAAAAATTGTTTTCATTATTCTTTAAGCCCTGTACACTTTTTGGACAATTACCTTTTATTTATTTATTTATTTATCCATGTAAGCTGAGAATGAATAGAGTACAATTCCAACATTCCATTTAAAAGAAGGCTCAATACAAACTAGAGCAATATTATTTATTTTAGGATATAACACCAAAAACATGTTAATCACCTGATGAGATGCATTGATATGCATCAAAACACAACTGCAATTGTGTAGCAATGTTTTCAGTGTAATATCCTAAAATAAAGAAAAAATATATATTTCTCTCAAATTCTGATATTAAAATTCTGACTTGTATTTCTTCGAAATTCTTAAATGGAACTACAGTATTAACTTGATTTTCACTAAAATTTGCTTGACACTATAATCTCCATTCATCTCTTCCTTGAATATTCACATATCAACTTCATCAGCATCTCTCCTCAAAAACCTTTTTGACATTACAGTCTCAATCCTTAGTATCCTCATCTTAGTACTTTTGAATATGAACCTAATAAAAATTTCACAACTTCTAAATTTTCTGCTCAAAAACTGCACTACTATTTTTTTTCATTAGCATCTTCTCTACCAATATGATTTTGGACAATTCTCTTTTTGTTCAACTCATATGCCATAATTCACGGCTCGTTCTTCAGAGCCACCTTATTATCAAAATATACTTCACATCAAATCCACTATATATGTTCCTTAATTACCAATTCTTTTAGAAGAAACTTTTCAAATCAGTACTAACTGGTATATCTGGTAATCTATTATCACCAGTTTTTCACAACCTCCTTTACTGTCCTGGGTAGGACAATAAACTATATCTGTGTCCAGGGTAAGATGATAAACTATGTCCAAAAGCAAGGCCTCTGATCAGGAAGTTTTGAGAAGTGTGGAACCGCCTCTTAATTGCTGGTGTTCCCAGGTCCACTCTGACCCAGTGTGGTAGCACCTGTTAGGGTCCCAGCTATGGGCAAATAGTTAACCCTGGAACTGAGGGAAAAAGCATTATAAAAGTGTAAAAATGGGTTTTAATACCAGAAATAAAATTTTGAAGAAAAAAAACTTACCAGCAATATATTTTTGAAAAAATTTTAGCAGCAGTACATTTTTGAAAATAATATTATCAGCTATACATTTTTGAGGAAAAAAATATTACCAGAAATAGATTTTTGACAAAAACAAAATATTACCAGGGAAAAAATGTTGGCATTAAATAACCCATTGAGGTTGATATGCCATAAAACAAAACAAACCAAATAAAATCACTTAATTAGTATTTCCATGTCTCACTGAACAAATTTTCCTGTAATCCATTATTACGATTTTTTTTTCTTGCTTCTGAAAAGCATCTCACCTCATTATGACTTTACAGGCTGATGTGTTTACACATTTCCCTTGAAGTCAGAGTTGGGAGTGAGATGTTAGATATTGAGCATGTAACAAATGGTGGCCTGGGACTTCCCTTCAACAAACAAAAATAAGCAGTTACCAAATTAGCAGAGCAAAATTTCCTTTGTATGAACAATGAGCACTCACCTGCTGGTGGCTCAAAACTTCCTCTCAACAGTCAACCCTCACCCACTAACAATTCCCCCTGTCCTTTAACCAAGCTAACATTATCTTAGTGTACCAAAGTTTGTATTCACTCAACAATCAATTGACAGGAATGACATGGTCTCTCTCCTCATAAATTTACTCACAATCCTAAATCATATACTGTTATGGTGATCAATTCTAATTAAAATGATTACTTTAAAAGTAGACAGAATGATTCCTAAATTCTGATAATACTTAAATTTTGTAATATAGCCAATGCCATATCTTTCCTCGTTTTCACTAGGTATAACCTGAAATACATGCATATAATGAAAGCAAACAAAACAACACCCAACTGTTCAAAAACCTACAAAACATTAGGAAAGTATCCAATTTAAACAAAACATCAAAATCAGTGTAATCAAAAGTAATACCCAACTGGTTGCAAGTTCAGTCTTTTGACAAGTGAGTACTTTACAAGCCATTTTCATAAGATAATTTTATAACAGGGTGTTGGCCCTACTTCAAAATCATGCAAGAAACCTATTACCATGCTTCACATCTGGTAAGCTGAGAGTATTTGGTTGGGTGTCTGTTTTATTGGGAGGCCTTTATAAAGTTCAAATTCAATCCCATATACCATGCTTCAAGTCATTGTACCTGACTCAATTAAGGAGTTGTATTCCTCATCCTTCTGATACTCTTCCTTCTTTTTTCATGGACTTTCTATCTTCCTCATTGGAGTCATTCCAAATCACGCTATCTAGCTTATGAAAATTTATTACTTTAATCTAGTAAGTCTTAACATCCACGTCAGGTTCTACTTTCAATGATTCTAGAAAATCTAGGGATAAAGCTTCTATAGTACCCTACTGTACCAATAAATTCTTGGATCTCTCTCTTTGTTTGAGGCCCTGGTATTGATCTTATCACCTCAACTTTATCCATATCCAGTTTCATTCCATTCCTATTAATAACAAAACTAATATATTTGGTCTTATACTTGAGAAACTGATGCTTCGGTAATTTCAATTTTAGACTATGCTTCTTTAGTTGATCAAACAAATGTACAGTCATTTTCTTGTCCAGTGTGCCCAGCAGGCCAAATATAAGTATGTATTTTTGTCAGCAAATAACATTTTTTGACAGTATTCATCTTGCAGTCCATTGCATCACTCATGAAAAAGTTATTAAACTCTTCTGGTAGCATGGTAATTTGTTTCTCGTATGATCTCAAAGCTAGTCCTAGAACATCAAAACAGTTCCAGTGCCCTGTAATTATTTTCTATTGGCCATTTCTTCTTTCTATCGCATCTCTGTTGACTTTCATATTCCAAGGATCATTCAGTAACACAAATTACTCCCCTACACTTTATTCATTTTATACTTTGCCATGGAGCAGCAGCTTGCATGTCACACATGAAAAAAGAGATTTACTCTTCTTTTTTTCACATCAATAATGACAATGAAATGTCTCAATATCAGAGAGATGTTTTTTCATAGTTCACGTTTCATTGGCCTTGAACAGATGAATCAAAAGGCTCTAAATCTTATCTATATGGTAGGCTATGCTATGCTAGCCAAAATTTGCAATGTGACCTCTGGTCTTCAAACTGGTGTGGGGTTTGGTATTATTGTGTTGCAAATAAAGGGTTATCTTTTAAAGCTTGAATCTGGAAATCTGGGCCTTCAGCTTAGCAGAATTGTTATGTAATGGTCAGTTGATGCTTTTTCTGGATGCCAAGACATCTAGAAGAATTTCCTCTTTCAAAATACAGTGTACATCACTTTGCCTGCTCTTGATGGACAATTTTCTGCTCTATGAACTATTTTTTTGATTCTGGCTCATGTCTTTCTGGTGATGATGTTGAAACAATCACTTTCAACCTCCTCGTGATTCAGCAACTCTTAAGACATGATTTGTCACACATCATCTTTGTTACTAATAATGAAATGCATTACCCTAACTATGTGGTTTATAGAAACATTTTAACATTTGTTAAATGTTGATATATGCAATTTTTTCTGCATGGAGGAATTGAATGACATATTTTTGCTACATTTTGTTTTCATGTCATATGCCATTTTGCCAGACTGTTAATCAACTGCTATCTGTAACAGTTATAGATTGGCTAGAAGATCAACAAAAAAAAAAATGAAACTAACTGGTTCCTTGCTCTTCAGAGTTATCTCAAAGATAAAATATATAGCAACGAAAATCAAGTTGGGAGGCAGGGGAAAAAGTATTAACAGAGAATCAACACTATGATTCACAGACAGATTACATTAAAATCCAGCAACCATTGCTTCTGGTTACAGAGAGAAAGTTACTTATCTTTAATATACAAGATCTCAAGAACTTTCCAGTGGTAAACTAAATGTGCTCTACTGATTGCTGAGACTAAAATTTCTGGTGAAAAATTAATCACTAATCAGATTACTTAGGTGTTTTGAAATTGCAGACCCACATGCATTGACAAGCATAGATAAATTGTTATACTTCCCTCTAGAGATCTTAGCTGGTACATATTATCCAGTTCTTGCTTCCCACCTCTGATTAGTTGTGTTTTGTTTTCAATTGAGTTATGAAGAGCAAGGAGCAATAACCAGTTTGCTTTTCTATTTTATTATGTGAATATCTACTTTTTAAAATGACTTTTTTTTTTTTTTTTTTTTTTTTTTTTTTTTTTATAAATTTGTATTTGCCTTTTCATAAAAATTGTCAAATACTATTTCTTTCTTTTCTGTCTTCTTTTATCACTTACATTTGATTTTAATATTTTTTTTTTGTTCTTTGAGCTGACTCAAAAAAAAAGATGAATGTCAGGGACATTTTTACATTATTTCTATCTTTTATTCAATCAAAATTTAAATTCTTTTCATGATTGCAGTGTGATTCTCCTGTACAACAGACTCGCTTGGTTGCCTTCCTCACAGCAGTTGTGTGCAGCACTTTGCTTTCGGTAAGCTTTTCTTTTTTTTTGTGCAAAGCATAACTTTGTTTCCAATATTTATTTTTATTTTTAAGTATATTTAAATTATAATGTTCTCTATCTTCCTTCTTAATAAAATAGGACAAAAGATTAAGGTTTATGCTTTCTCTACAACCACTAGTGTGGATTCTACTTATTAACACTATTTAACTCTGCATTTAACAAAAATTTTAAAAATGTCTGAATTATTAGTGATTCATTTTTATCTTGTTTTCTTGGTTCCAAAATATTCCCTTCATTAAAGAAAAGTGTAGTTTTGTAATGCTGAAACAATCTTGATCAAGTGAATCAAATGTAATTTTTTATGAATTATTTTTTTGTAAATTTTTTTATATTTTCCAGGTTTCAATCTATGAAATTGACAAATTGTTAGAACAACTTGCAAATCTGGCCATCTTTACTGGAGATGAAATCACACTAATTCATGCGGCTAAATGTTGTGCTGGCCTCTTCAACAAATACTCACAAAGTAAATTGCACTTTCTTGTTTTTCTTTTTTAAAAAAAAATTTTTTTCTAACTCAACCTTTTCACATTGTAATACATTTTGCTGTTATTTTTTTTAATCCTATTTGGAATTGGTACACCAACTTGAACTGAAAATAAGATTACCATACATATAATTACTCTTTATTCTTATACATGCCCATTCCTCTTACATCCACAACTTGTATTTTCATAAATTATAAAGATTACTTGTAACATTTTTTTTTTTAAACTTTCAAAGTTGATTAATAATTTGAAGTTTCTGAATTAATTACAGTATTTTTAAATATTTAATTAAGTAATTTTGTTAAAATCTTCATAAATCTTTATCTACTGAACTGATTTATCTACACAATCTGATGGATTAAACCAATCTTTATTCAACTAACACAGTTTTATTCCCTCCAACCTTTGAAGAAAATAGACCAATGAATGCATTTTCTTTTGTAGGAAATTCAAATAATTGTATGGTATTTTTGTTACACCCATTGTTTTTATTTATGATGTTTTCAAGTTTAGGTTCTTTTTCTTTTTATACTTAGACATCTGGCATTTCACACAACATATTTTAAAAATGTCAGCCTTTGTTTATTTTACAATCTACCTATTATCCCCCAATCACCACTACCACCCAATATCTTTTTTAATTTTATGAGAGTGCATCTGGCAACCAAAAAATAAATATTTTTTGCAGTTAATTGTTTAAGTAAGAGAAATTATACTTTTTCATGATATTAACATCTTTTTTTAAAAGAACTAAAATCTTTTTTTTTTTTTTTTTTTTCCTTTTATAGCTTCTCCTGCCAAAGAATGTCTTGAAACTCTCCAAGAGAATCTGAAAGCTAAGTTGACCAATTTGGATAAATCTACAGAGAAAGTTCAGCTTCAAACTTTACACTTGTGGCTTTGGTTAACAAAAGCATTGGTGATGTGTGCTCATCAGCAAGCAAATCAATTTGTGGACCTTGTGAGTTTCTTGTCTTTGTTGTGTTTGATTCTGGTTTGAGTTTGCAAAAGATAAAAAAAAACAAAAAAAACAAATCAATGCTCAGATTAAAATGTGAAATCAAAGCCAATATTTGGACAATCTTCTTTAATAAATATTTGGCAGTGTAAAAGTAAATACTGTTTGCTATGATGTCATCCATGTTGGTGACTATCATTTTAAAAATAAAATCAATTTGCATTGTTTTTATTTGTAATAATAAATTTAAAAACTTGCTTTTCTTTTTAATATATTGTTACTGATTTTATCAAAAAGGCAAAGATTGCAAAACTTTTCACAAATGTCAGTTAATTCACTCAAAGCATTTAACATTCCTGTCAAAACCATAATCGCCACCACTACTAATAATAATAATAATAACAACAACAACACTATTAGTGAATTGTTTTCTGTAATTTTTTTATTACGTAGGTTTATTCTATTATAAAAAGATTGTGTATGAATCCATCATGTAGACACAGTAGAGAATAGAATATTTATTATAATATGGTCCCTGCTACTGCTACTCCTTTTAGTTCATTGATCTATCATTCCCTGTCCCAGCATTACAAAAAAAGTATTGTTATTGGTGTCATCACTTGGCAGTGTTTTTTATCTTCATGGTCATTGCATGTCAACATCAGCAAACTAGGAGGTAATTAGATTCTATGAGGATTTTGTTCTGTGATTGTTGTGATTCTACAGAGATTGTGACATCTCACAGCTGTGGTAAAGGTTTTTTCTAAACTCCAAGTTACAAACTAACATTCTGTTGGCATCTTAACACTGGGTTTAATGGTAACAAATTCAAGAATTTAAAGGCATATAAAGAGTAAAGAATTATTAATCTTTTTATGTAACCTGGTTGATGGTCTTTCAGCAGGAAAATTATTCTAGCAGTAATTCATAATTTCTTTGTGATGGTAAAAATCAAAGTAGCAAAAGAAAGGATTAAAACTGGACTTAGCCTCTCTTGTCATCAGGTCTCCTCCTGTGTCTCTTCTCTCCATCTGTCTGCCTGTAAGCATTGCCTGGTTTAAGATATTCATGACCTTTCATGGCATGCTTTCAGTTGAAACTTCTAACATAAGATATAAACATATAAGGGGTTTGATAGTATTTTGAATAAACGTACCATGAATTCTTTGAAATTTGAGAAATTTTAGAAGACCACAAATCATCACATACTGCCCCAGAGGTAACTAGGTAGGTTGGGGAGGATCTAGTCTTACAAAATCTTAATGAATTCTGCTTGGTTTATTTCAGGTTAAATTTTCCTAAAGCTTTCTGTAAACTCATTTTGTAGCTTCTAATTATTATTTTTAATTCATTTGTTTTCCTTTTTTCTCCTCATCACTTAAGTAGTTCCTCTGAGTTTTTTCACACTTTAATCCTAATTATTTCCTGATTCAAATTGTCTTTACATATTCTCATGCTTTCAAATGTTGAACCAAGGTTACCACCCTGTTGTATTACTAGTAGTAGAAACAGTTTTGCTTTTGTGAAACATTTATGGACAGTTTAATTCTCACTATGTCCATCAGATAAGCATCAGAAGATGTAAAACACCAGGATTTCAACTCCATAACTTTTGTCTTACATCCTGTATTTCATCTATTGAAAGAGTCTGCCTAAGATGAAAGAAAAGTACTGGGATGTTTAAGAGAAAGAAAACTTGTTTTTTTTTCTCTTTTTTTTCCCTCCAGGGCAGCTCATTTAAGCAGTTTTGTATTTAGCTGTAAAATGTCAGAAAACAGCAAAAAGTTTAATAAGTTTCAGTTTTGTAATATAACCTTCCATCTGAAATGTCCTTCTTGACCAGATACCCACATGATCAGATTTACTTTTTCTCATTTCTCTAGCTTCTACCAGGGAAGATATCACACTAAGTACTTGGTCATTGTGTTGGTTTTTATCATTGACAATCCATCATGTCAGACAAACCACCTCAGAAGTAGGAGAAAGTTGAGTTGAAATTTGGGTTTCTATATATATAATTCATTTTACTACAAGCTTGGGATTTGAGTAAAGAATGAAAGATATCTTTTGGAAAAACTATTCTCTTCTATGAAACACAGACAGCATCTGCTACCTCTCTTTGTGCACAACCTTTCTTATAACTATTGCTGATTTCAGCTCACAACACTGCCTGCTTCCAATGGTTTAATGGAGTACTGACTGGTGTTAAGAAAGTATTAACACATTTATATTGTGTTTTTTAAATAAAAAAACAAATTCTTCAATTTTTAAGACATTGTTTTAGTTATCTTAACAGATTCATGAGATATCATACAAAACTCATATGAGGTGCAAGAAGTATTTTTTAACCTAAAATTACAGCTAATATTCTTTCCCAGATTTCCCTTCTCTCAATTTCATCAACCCTAATTCTAGATATTGGTTAAATTTCCTTATTTGGTCATCTGTCTAATATATTGTTTTTTCTGATTCTACTTTTTCTATTTCCTCTCTCTCCCCATTTTCCTTTCAATTGTTTTTCTATTTTCATGTTTTCTTAGACAACATGATTATCTTTTGTGTCCGTCAATCATTTCTTGATTGGAGAGTTGGTAAATGCATTTGGGATTTATCCTTAATAAACTGAAAACCAACTATTAATTTAACCATGTGGTTAGTAACACTAACTTGTGAAATCTTAAAAGGAGAGTGGTGGGGGTTGATAGTAACATACTTTGTTTCACATAGAGCCTTGCTTTCTTGTATTAAGCACATAAAATTCAAAAATGTATTTTTATAAAATTCTTGTCAATCAATGTCATGTTTTTTTTGTAAGTGGAAAATGTATCTATAATAAAATCTGAATGAAATGGTGAAAATTTTTATCTTTTATGTTGGGGAAATGTGAATTTGAGTTCTTTCTGCCTATCTTCCTGTTGGGATATAAATATAGTCATTATATATAAGGTGAGCTTTTCTTTGAAGATCATTCAATACCTGATGTTGAAGAAGAATCTGACAATTGGGTTTTTACAGCTCTTAAAGGAGTTAAAATTTCTTTGTTAGTAGTGATAATGTTTTTACTATTACATTAATATCATCAATGTATGTATGTTACCACTGTAGACCTCCACCCTCCTGTGTTGTATAGGGCCATAGCCTAACCATACTAGGAGTATCATCATTAGTGCTATTTAATTGATTTTCAATTGTTTTTTCACCCCCAAGAAAAATTAAGTTTGGATCTTTTTTTTTAAGACAATCCTCATCTATTCGATATGACAAAAAAGGTAAAGAATTGGAAAAAATTTTAATAAAATAATTTTGTCTGAGATTTGGGTGAAAGTGTTAATATTCAATTTACTTTTATTTATTTTACTATGAACATCTTTTTTGCACAACATAAAATTTCACCTGAAGAATGCTGAAATATGAAAAAACGAAACCAAAAAAAAACAGTTAGGGATTGAATATGATTTAAGGTTATTTCTCTTCCATGTTTATTTAACTAACATTTATTTGACTTTTATCCCAGATTCTTAATTTGTTTGAAGAATGTGAGTTAGGTGAGAGTGCCGCCAAGGGGATCTATCTCATCTTGAATGAATACAAGGATGTTTTGAGCCGATCACAACATGCCAAAGTACGTCTCATGTATCGACAGAGGTTTTTTGTTGAACATATACAACGTTTATCTGAATCATTCCATCATGCAAAACCTGGTGAGTATGACTTCACCATTTTTAAAATTCAGTTTCCAAAATATTTCTTTGTGAGACTTTTTTTTTAGTTTCTCCAACCTGAATTCTTTTCAACAACTTTTTCTAGTTTTTGCTCATAATTTTTCTTTCTTCCTTATAAGCTTACATATGTCTGTGTATTAACCACAGAACTTTACATTTCAAAAGATTGTTCAAGTTTTACATTGAATCCATTGTATCTGAATTGTTCTGGCCATGATGTTAAACTGCACCCACATTCTAGGCATGGGGTCAAATTGCAATCATGAGCTTTTCACAAAACAAGTTCATCTATGTCCTGGGTAGGACATTAAACTACAATCAGGTGTAGTATAGGAAGCAAGATGGATTAGAAACTAATTATTTGTATGAGGAAACTTCACCTACATGCCATCAGCTTATATGATAAGCCTACAACCTATCTGTTTATGGTGCCTTTATGAAAAATAATCTAGTTTTTTCCATAAAAACAACCTATTGGGGAAAAAAAATAGACACCTTTAAACTGTCAACAAAAATCATAATCTGCAAACTGTTTATACTAAAAGCTATGCTTACCTGTCCATACAAAAATACCTAATGCACACATTTATGAAAACCAATTCCCAAAAACTACAGATCCCCCTCAATGGGGCCACCTGTTTGCTGTGGTTGGCAACTCATTATGTTTGAGGATGGAATCCTGGTGACTAAGTGACTCTTGGCCTGGTTTAAAATGGCTAGGAGTTTCCACAATATGCCACTTTGGTCCAAACCTGAGATAGACTGAGGGATGGAATAGCCCAATCCAATCCAATCGGCTAGTCACATAGTGGCAAGTTGGGATGAAAGAGATTGACTACAACATGGCTGCAAATCCTTACACCATACTATACTTGGGTAGATACGATGGGGGAATACGAGTGTTCATGGCCCCTTTCAGCATGACTATACTGTCAGTGTAGCCCTGGTGGATCAGAGTGAATGGGATTAGTCGACCCCCCGATAACATCTCTTAAGAAGGAACTCCGAGGTGAGTGGGAAGCACAGATGGCAAATGCAAAAACAAAATTATATGAGTAACTCTTATAAACAATCCAAGAGACAGTACAAAAATTCTGAAACAGAAAGTGACAAATGAAATATTAGAAAAAAAAAACAATTTCCAATTTTCATAGTCATAAAATAATTAGAGGGTGAAATAACAAAAGTATCTCCTTTTTGTGTTACAAAAGGTTGTATCAGCCATGATAGAACCAAAATTAGTAAAAAAGAAAACACTTTTAATTTAAGTAAAAACCAAAAAAGGCATAAAAAACATACTAAAAGATCAACAAAATAAATGACCCGAGAGTAACGGCTTATCCTCACCAATTAACTCGTAAAGGAGTAATAAAATGCTCAGAACTGTCACTCTGCTCACTGGAAGAAATTAAAAATGATGACCCCAAAAACGAAAAAAAAAAAAAAAAAAAAAAAAGAAGAAAGCATAATAGGTATCAAGAATACAAAAAGAACTGGTAAACAAAACCACTCAGCAGATTTATAGAGTGTAACATCTGGAAAAAGTAAAAGCAAATAAGAATAAAATACACACAAAACATCTCATTCCAAGCAGCTAGAAAATTGGTTGAAATTGACTCGCTTCATCATACACAAATCCTGCTAAAATAACAAATCACCAAAATGACATACAAGAGAACAACACAAGAAACCAAGAACTTACAACTCTAATAAATGAATTAAAAAAACTAATAGAACTACTAAAATTTATTATACCACACATAAACCAGACACCCATAGTCAAAACAAATCTTATCCTGTCAACCTCAAACAAAAAAGAATCTATAAGTACAAAACAAATAAATCTGAAAACCCCAACCCAAAGTACAAAAATCAATGAACTTAGAACCCTCCAAACCTTCACAAGAGAAACAAAAAGTTCATTAAAAAAAAACACAACCCAGCACATCACTGAAGAACCAAGAGAAATGGACATAGATGGACAAAACTCACCTCAAATAATAAACTAATAGAACAACTACCGAAACCATTCATATTAGGTGACTTAACAGTTACAATGTTATATGGGAATCCAAGAACTCTGACAAATAGGAGGGGAAAAAATTGGAAAATGTAACGACGACTTATGTATTAGACTTATCATTTAGTAAACATATCTATATCCTGCATCAGGTACATACTCAGCTATTGATCTATTACTGTGTGACCCCTCTATCTTTATGGATTACGATTGGCAAGTACTTGGCGATTTATGTGACAGTGATCACTACCAAATTATACTGAAGAACTCAGAACCAATTGAAAACAAGCTCCCTCGATGGAAACTAAACAAAGCAGACTGGAGGGAATAAAAAAAAACAAAAAAACAACGCTGTCAAAAACTAACAGACAAAAACAATAAAAAAAAAAAATCTATTGAATATCACTTTGAAACATTAATAACAATTGTGAGAAAATGTATAGCAAAAAGCAGTAAATCAAATAAACATCAAAGAACATGGTTCGACGGAAATTGCAAAAAAGCAATAAGATTATGCAAAGCAGCACTACAAAAATTTAACCTAATCTACAACCCATAATTTAAATCTATTCAAACTAAACAGAAAAAAAGCATGCAGAACCATCAAAGAAGCTAAAAGAAAATCCTAGAGAGATTACATAAATAAAATAAACTCCCATACCAAATTAAAAAACATCTAGAATATAAAGAAAATCTCTGGCAAAAATCTATCACCTCATCTAAATCACCTTTTCCAAAAAACATAAAAATAACAAGCAAAAAGAATATAGCAAATCTACTCACAGAAACCTTTAAACAAAATTTAAGCTGAACTTTAACTCAAACAAAAAAATACAACCATCCTTTTATCCGAAATGAACTTATAGATTCCATAAGTGAATCACATAATACAGCTACTGGCCCAGATGAAATTCATTACAAATTTCTTAAACAACTTCCACCAAAATCCATAAAATATCTGTTAAACACCTTTTAATGAGATCTGGTTTAAGGGCAAACTCCCAAATAGTTGGAAACAAGCTACTGTGATCCCTATATCAAAATCAGATAAGACAAATCAAACTCAAAAACCTCCAACCTATAACCTTAACAAGTTGCATATGCAAAACCCTAGAAAGAATAGTGAATAAAAGACTGAACTTTCTGCAATCTGAAAAAATGCACAATGATCCAACTCTTAGACTTGAAGGAACAGAAATTGAAATGACTGAATGACTGACCAACATAAATTTCCATGAATCATTTTTGATAAAAACTTACTTTCATCCCCCGACTTAAAATACATAAAACAGAAATGCTTCAAAGCATTACAATTACTATGGATTGCAGCTAACACTGACTGGGGAGCAGATCATATATTGCTCCTGAAATTATATAGAACTCTAATAAGAACCAAATTTGGACTACCAATATTTCACATATGAGTTAACCTGGAAATCCTACTTACAAAAAAAAAAAAATTGACCCCATACACCATGCATAGAAAGTTCATATGTTGAAGCCCATGAGACATCATTAAAATTGAGACAAATCCAGAGGTGGATATGCAAAGTTAGTTGGCCCTGATCTGGCATCTTGTTTACAGTCACTCTCTTGCAGATGTACCATCACCTCCCTCTGTCTTTTCTACAAATACTTTCATGGTAACTGCTCTTACGAGCTATTTTTGCTACTGCCCAAACTGCATGAATTTAAACGTGCCACTAAGTTGGCATCTGTCCCACCCTTTCACTGTCAAAACCGTTAAATGTAGCCATTTCTTCTACTTCAATAACTTCATTTCTCGAACTTCCCGTCTGTAGAACTCCCTTTCTCTTACTTGCTTCCCTGATATCTATAGTCTCCAACTTTTCAAATGCAATGTCAATCGGCATCTCCAGATGCCTTGATCTATTCCCTGTCCTTCCCTTCATCCTTTCCTCTTTTATGCCTGTTTACTCTTGCTCCCACTCTCTGTAACCCCTTGCATGCTAGTGGTGCTCCCAGCTTCCTTGGGGTGAAAAGTTAATAAAAATAAAAAAGCTGGCACTACAATATTACCTAAAACTCAAATCCTGCCTAACTAACCCTGTCTATCACTGTATCTTTAACCCTAAATATAAAAATCAAACCATTTGGCCTTTACATAGAAAATCTCATCAGCAAAACTCAAAATCCAACACTTATTCATAAAACCACCATCTCAAAAACCCACACTGTTTAATGAAACACCCTGTGATTCTGCTAAACCTTACTAAATAGTGTAAAATTAATACTAACTTATCTGAAGAAATTTGTAATGTTCTACAAGCAAACCCAGATTATAAATACATATATACTGATGGCTCTAAAATCTTGGACAGAGTTGGATGCTCTGCTAACCTTAACAATGCAAAAATGATTACTTGACAGAACCCTCAATCTTCAGTGCAGAAGCCACAGCCACACACTTTAGATATAGAATCCAGTCGGTCAGATAGATTCATCATCTCAGATTCACTATCTATACTCACAGCTCTGAATAATAAAAGCATGGGAAACCCCTTGATAAGTAAATTATTAAATAGGATTGACACTATTTATAGGAAAAAAGACACTGTAATAGTCTTATGCTGGATACTGAGCCATATTGGTATACAAGGAAATGGAAAAGCTGACAAAATGGCAAAGGAATCGCTGAACATTGCCCTCTCAAATGTAAAGGTTCCACACACCAACTTACGACCCACCATAAACAGGATTATTAAAGAAAAAGGGCAGCAATTATGGAACAACTGTAAAAACAAATTACTCAACATCCAACCAATCATTAGTGAAAGACAGCTAAGTTACAGAAAGATGAGATGGTACCAGCCAGACTTCGTATATGACACACATACATAATCAACCAACATCTACTAAATAATGAGGAACCGTCAGTATGTGTCCCATGCCAGCAACCATACACTGTTAAACACATACTACTAAATTGCTATAACTTTCAGCAAACCCAAATCAAATACTACAAACCAGATAACTTAAAGACCTATTTGAAAATACTGAACCAAGTAACATCATTAGGCTCTACAGGAAAATACTCTTTACCAAACCTGCTTACCTTCATTGTTTTGCAACCGATTTTATACAATCTACATGCACCCGCCAATCAAAGGAATTTTTCCCTATATAATCCCCTGCTCTTAAAAGAAAATAGCTTATTATTCACCTGAAAACCATCTTTGGCATTAAATGATCCATCTGGGTTGATGTGCCATAAATCTAATCAATCAACCTTATTGTATCTGAGATACAAATACAAATTGATAACTCATTAAATAAGGAATTTCTATTGTGGATTTTTCTATAAAGAATAGAATACAAAAATAATTCATCCATATATTTTAATAATACAGGAAAAACATCTAAAATAAGGGTTTATCCATTTTTACATTTATAGAGCATAAAAAAGGATTGTACTTCATTTTGAAGAACTCTACAAAAGACAATATTCTTTATGAAAAATATTTCTCTTTCCTGTTGTATTGTTCTCTGCTGCTTTGCCTTATCAACAGTTGAACATGGTAAGTATATTCCAACATCATAAATCTGGGTTTAGAAGCTTTATTTATTGTCATTTAATTAATATCTTTACTATATAAATAGAATTGTATGTGGATTCAATGGTTTTAAGTTGATTTATCAATGGAGTTATTGAAGATATCTGTGGGAGTGGAAGAAATAAATAAATATGAACAAGCAGATGAATTTATATCTATTATCCAACAAAATGCTAAAATGGCTTGTGATTAAGCAAAATGCCTCACAATAACACCATAATAGAAACCAAACCAGTTTTGTTAAAATTTCAAGTGTGTTGTTCATTTATGATGAGGAAGTTCTTGATGAACATTACAAAAATTTATTTGATTTCTATACATTGTACTGCTTCACTTTTTATTATTGTTGCTATTAACATTGCTATGACTAAGTTTTTTATTAAAGTTATCATTTTTATTTAACACCACAATTTTTTTTATGACTTTTTTATCTATATATGCTGTAATAAAAAGTTAAAATCTATCATAAACTGTTACTTGAAGCTGTTAATCCTATGAGCCCTGCATTCCTGAACAATTTTTAACCCTTCTGCCTAAGCTCCTGGGTCAAAATTCATAAATAATTATGTAATGTTTCACAGTAGATATAAAAATAGTTACCAAAAATATAAGCATTATATTTAGCAAGGAGAGAGTATGATTGTATGCCTTCACTTTATCGCCAGAATTCTTACTTTGTGTGCCAGTCTACCCAGCATCTGTTCAAAATAAGACAACCAACTGCAAAACACTACACAAGTGTTTACCCACTGTTCAACTGGTGGTTATGCATTGTCATTTTTCTCTACCACTGGTAAAGCGGTGGTCAGGACTCAAATTGTTAATTCTTAAATTAATCAATTCTTCCTTTGACTCATAATCAACAAATATCTTAAATTACAAATGAATTGAATTTTTTATCTCAAAATAAAATCATTTTGTTGCAATATATTAAAATTATGAATTTTTTATAACCTGTGTAGTGAGTGACCCAACTGGTCTTGTAAATAAATTTGCTTCTACTTCTGAAAATATCTTCCTTAAATATCTTAATTGTCTCATTTGTTCATGTTTTTTTTATCTTTCTTTCATTAATTTACAATTAATTTCTGTAGCATATTTAAAAATGATGACAATGTCATTTTTTATTACAGAATTAAAGAAGAATTATTTAATAGCTGTATCACATTTATTAACTTTTCTTCCACGTCAAGTTCTTGTGTCAGAATTACCACCTGTAAGTATCAACTTGATTGATTATTTCTGTTTCAGCAGATAGCTAAAACACATTTACTTTTAAATTCACATTAAGTAAATCAATTTAGCTATATTTAAAATGTAAAGAAAAATTTAATTGCTATTTCTTCTCATTGTTTAAAATATCATTTCATAATAGAGAAATATTTGGACATTATCAAGTTCCTTTTTTTTTTTTTTTTTGATACATTTGCAATTCATTCTTCTTCTCTAAATTGTTTGTGAAAGGTGGAAACAAAGTGAATAGCACAAAAATCTTTTAAAAAATGAGAAAAATTATTAATACAGAAATAAAAAATGTCAGAAAAGTGTAATGTAGAAGAGAAAACAATTTAAATTCAGGTAAGAGCATTCTTAGAAATGGAAAATGAATAAAATTAAAAAAAATATAAGAAATGAACTGGAAAACAAAGTATGTACATTTTTTTCTTATTACTCAACAACACCAATTTGGCTTCTTTTTTTTAATAACTTGAGTTTTTCCTCTTTAAAATATTGTTTTTTTGTTTTGTTTTTTTTCTAAAACTTTATGTTCATATTTCTGGTTATGATCAGAAAAATGATTATTTAAAAAAATTATTTAAACTTTTGTTTGAATAATGTTTCAGTTAATTCCCATGTTGGTGCTTGCTCTTATGTCTGATGAGTGTAAACTGCAGTTGTCTACAATGTCAACTTTAAAAACTGTGATGGATGAAAGCCCAGCACTCCTGGCTCAACATGTCAACCTTATTGTGCCCAGATTACTCAAACTCTCCAAAACAGATACATCAATGGTGAGTTTTATTAAATATAATTTTTTCAATCTATAAAATAAATATTTCTACTTTGATTTCACATTTTATTTAAAGTTCTTTTTCTCAAAAAATTTTCAGAAAAACAGACAGAATTTATTTAAATCATATTATTCAAATATTATTATTTAAAATAATTTGTAGTGGGTATGAAATTTTATTAGAGCTTTAAAAATGGACATTTTTAAAACTATATACACAAATATATTTAAACCGGGAGGAAGAGCAAAAATAACTTTGTGAAAAAAGCAAACTGGTTATCATACCATTCTCTTCAAAGGACAGAAGTGAAGAGTGACTAAAATGAAGAGGGAGAGGATAAAAAATCACCAGAGAATCAGTACTTATGTCACAGACAGATTACATTAAAGCCCAGCAACTGTTGCTTAGATTTCATATACTGGGTCTTGAGCTCTTTCAAATGATAATCTGAATGTGTTCTGCTAATAACTGAGAAAAAAAAATCTCTTGTAAAAGGTGGGTCACAATTGCAAACCTGGATGTATAGACAAGTCTGTAAATTTCTATACTCATCTCTACAAATCTTTGCTGGTATGTGTTGATCATTTCTCACCTTCAACCTCTGATCAGTTCTCAAATTTCCTAGCCAGAATCCATCTTGCACATTTATAAATCTACCATTTGTCCATGCATGGAATATTGCTGCCACATCTGGTCTGGTACTCCTGCTATATATTGAGATTCTTGATAAAATCTAGAGTCTAATGTCATGTCCTGACCTGATCTCAACTTTAGTCAATTTCCCGCTGCCCCGATGTGGCTTCTCACTGTCTTTTCTGTAATTATTTGTGTGGCAAATGCACATCAATAAGGATGCAAAAGAGGCTGCCAAAATGCATGCAGACATGTCTCAAAACTAGTTACATCTTGGTTTTCCTCATTGGTAATGGGGCAGCTTGGTATGTCTAGATATGGGCCCCATGACATGTTCTGATTGGAATCTTTGTCAGCTGTCTCATGCTAATAAAAGCGATGGGGGGGGGGGAATCAGCAGTTGGTGAGACTCAGTGTCTTGTGAAGTCATTCTCTTGGGCATTTTGTTTCTAAAATTGCATGTCACCTACCCTGCTGTGATTCCTGATGTAGTTTTGTTTCCTCCCATCTTTTTCTGTTGTCTGCCTGTTTTCCTGTAGTTTTTAGGTGTTTCTCTCAACCTCAACACACACTTGCTATATTTTGCAACAACTTTCATGGCAATTGTTCTCATGAGCTTTCCTCCTTGGTACTTCAACCACATAGGTCCCATCATTACTGTTGAAATAGATGTAACTAGGTACATAGCAGTAGCTCCAACAAATGAGGATAGAAGGGTACGAAAGGATAACAATACTCAGGGTAGGAAGACCAAAGCTGTTTTCTATGTGAAGGGATTATTGGAGACTATACAAAAGATCTGTGGTCCATATAACATCAGGAATACTTTCAAAAGTGGTTTGACGCTTTGCAGACACCTCTTCCAAGTAAGACCCCAATAGAGGAGAACATTACTAAGGACTGTGTGTATGCCATCTCGTGCAGCTGTGGCAAGTAATATAGAAGAGAAATCGACTGCCTCCATAAGGTAAGACTGCAAGAACATTGTAAAGCTGGGGGTGGGGGAGATAGAAAAATTAGGTATAGATGACCACATCTGGAGGGAAAAGGGAGATCATCATCCTCTGTGGGATCAAGTTGAAATAATAGAACATCACTGAAAAATGCAAAAACTTAAGGAATCAGCCACAAAAATCTCCTAAGCCAACAACCATAGAAATGAATACAATATGGAAACCAGTAATGCTGAGTGCTAGAAAAAAAAGCAATAATAACAACAAAAATTGCAATATGATCTGATAAAATAGCAACATTACTGAGACATTAGGTTTATAAGTCCCAAAAATTCATACACTGATGTCTTCAAGGACACATGGTCTAGTGGATAAAAATATTGTAGTTGTGAGTTCAATACCTAGCTACAGCAGAAATGAACAAAAACTTGGAGAGTTGAGTTAAAAGGGAGATAACTGATAAGACATCTGGAAGAGGCATGACACGTGGAAGTAGAAAAATCTTTAAATAGAAATAATGGGTTCTGTTTGAAATTTCAATCATACAATGGCTGAAACGTCATGAATATGGCAGTAAAGATGGACAACAGTTCAATGTAAATAATTGTAAGTTCTATTCTAATAGTTTAGTTGCCTGTGGAACTCTCTTTTTCAGTTTTTTGTCACCTATGATCTTCAAAAATTTAAATGCAACATGAACTGTCATCATCTGTCTTCCTGAATCCTGTTCTTTTATTGTCTTTCTCCTCTTTAATTTCGTATTTTCTTTAACTCTCAGTACCGCTTGTGTTTTAGTGGCATTATCACCTTGCTTGGGTAAAATGATAGTTTGAAAATTGTGGTAATTCTTCCTTTTCCTACTAACCATTTTTTAAAATTTTGCACAACTTCGCAAAATCTTACAATATGGCAGTCCATATAACATCAGGACAACCTTCAAAAGCTGGACGACACTTTGCAGATATCTCTTCTGAGTAAGACCCCCCCACCCCATAGAGGAGAACACGACTAAAAACTGAGCCAACCAAGCATGGAAATGAATACAATATGGGAACCAATAATGACTGCCAGAGAAAAGCGATAACAACAAAAAAAATTGCAATATGAGCTCTGGTAAAAACATACATTGATAACAGCAAAATTGCAATATGAGCACTGGTAAAAATGATTGCTGAAGACATTAGGTTTATAATACCCAGAAAATCATACACAGATGTCCTCAAGGATACATGGCACAGTAGATAAAGGCATTAGTTAAATCCAGTGATAGGACCCAAAGAGTGTGAGTTCAATACCCAGTTAAGGCAGTGGAGAACTTGGAGAGAGGAATTAACATTTAAAAACATGGCATGTGGAACAGTCTACCCCAGTGAATGAAATAAAGGGTTCAGTTTAACATTCCAACCAGAAGACCGGAACATACAATGGCTGAAACGTAATAAATATGGCGACAAATAGTCCAAATAATGTAAATAGTGTCATTCCTTTTGTATTACTATTTGAGTTTTTAAAAAAAAAAAAAATTTCTTTTCATTTTTATCAGTGCAGATAAAATTCCAACCCTTAGAGTTTGTTCCTCACCATAAATACTGTTAGTCTGTTAAACTCTTATTCCAACTTTTAATTAACATATTAACCTAACGCAGTTATTACCCTTCTCCTGAGATTTGATTCCCCTTTAACAGGGTGGTGAGTAATTATCAACTTCATAGACTGCTGCCATTGGTATTGTACAAAGCAAAAGAAATTTCCTAGCAGTTTAAGTTGCTATAATGTATCCTTAAGTAAATAAAAGGTTAAATGTTTCAATTGCATCCTATAACCTTTTTTTTTTTTTTTTATTCAATATTAGTCAATTCATTAATTAATTCATTAATTTTATTGAATATTATTTGTGTAAATAAGCAAAACCAAAATCTGTACAGCTACATTTATGGTGCTTGTATAGCAACAATGGCTTGTAAGAAATTTTAGTTGCCTTATTTTAATTACAGCCTAAAATCTCAAAACAAAATAATTACTGATAAAATTTTCAAAGGGAGAGAGTTAAGTGTTTGTAATACTAAATTTAACCCAGTCATATTTTAATTCTAGATTCAAATCCCATCATTGACTTCTACCAATTATTTTATTCCTCAAACATTTTTCTATAATTTTTATTTACTACTACCATTAACTTAAATTGTTTGCTTATGATTGTTGATATCTTAATAACTCATTTATTACTGCATGGAAAACGTCTTAGTTCATGAATCTTGTGGAACAATTTTAAAATGATCACTTCATATTCTGCTAATCGATAGGCTTTGATGATTAGCAAACAAATATGTAATACATTTTATGTTTTTTCAAAAAATTACTTATATTTATTTATCTCAAAACTTTCTCATTTTGTCATTAGGAGTATTTAATTTTAACCTTCAAAAAGATAAATTTGTGATTGTATTGTGACAGTTGTCAGATTAGCATGCAATTAAAAAAAAAATTATTATTAAAATAGACATTTCATTTACTGATTCTAATAAACAAATGGAATGGAAAAAAATAGAAAATTAAAGCATTTTTTAAGAAAGGTAAAAAATGCAACTCATCCCCAAAGAAAAAATGTGTAGATACAATAAATGATTAAATGTGTTAAAATGGTTTGTGACACTTCATAACCAGTAGACATTGATAACAATCAAATCAAGACATTATTTGAGAATAAAATTATACAGCATAGCCAACATAATCAAAATATTTTTCTTTGATGTTATTCATACTTCCAAATATTTGATTTTCTTACTAGGGTTCATTTAGCTTAAACTACATACCATCATTGGTACTAATAAACTATTTATTAATAAAATGCAGTCATAAACTAAAGAAATATTTTTTACTTTGAGATAGCTATACATGTCACAAATGTTTTTATTCCTGAAGGGAAAATTTTCCTCTCTATTTGTCATTGTAGAAAGTGCGCATTGCATCTCTGGAATGTCTTGAATATTTAACCCAACTACCAGCTTCAACACTTCTTCCTTATCGACGTGAAGTGATCCGGTTTCTGGAACCTGTTTTGGATGACAAAAAACGACTTGTTCGTAGGCAAGCAGTTAGAGCACGGGGTGAATGGTGAGAATTTTTTTTTAAAGAAATTAGTCTTTTCTGAAGAACCATTTTTGACACAAGTCCCCTTTTAATTTGTTTATAAATTTTAATGGTATTTTAGGATGTGAGGCTAATTTTCAAGGACCTTACAACTTAGTTTGCTTGCTTTTATTACCATGATAATATCCCAGCAGGAAATTTTTTCTAATATTTTCGCTTTATAAATAAGTTGTAAGTTGAAATATTTATATCCTGGCTGTACCATATTTTTCATATATTAATTATTGATTTACTTGTGTTTTGATTTTAGAAAATTTAATTGAACTTTTAAGTTTTTTCTCCGTTACCAGTTTGCTGTTCCTTCATTACAAATTCATCAAGTGAAATAATTTATATTTGCATTTACAATTCCTTACAAAAATTTTTTTTTTTTTTTTTTACAAAAATTTAAATGTGCTTTGGTCGACTAATAAATTTATCTGCCTAACATTTGTATAATGTTAAAATAAAGCAAGGAAATATAAATCATTTATTATTCAGTAATTGGGGGTGGTAGCAGATGTTGTTCTCATCTTATTAATCCTCCCCACCACATCCAACAACATGTCAGCTGGTTTATTCTCCAGCATTTCTATGGTGGATATGACATAATACTGTTAAACACTTATTTATAAATAACATTACCAATATTATAGTGGCAATTCTATGGAAATATTTAAACAATTGTAAAAAAAGAAAAAAAACAATTGTTTTATTTGTAAGTGAATGTATAAAATATTCATCCAGGTATTTTTTTTTCCTTTATTTAATTTCGTGAACACATTTCTTTTATTTTTGTTTCTTATGTACACACACTATACTTATGTGCTGATACTTTCAGCTTGTTTATTTTCCACCCACTGAATATAAATTACAAGATTTGTTATTTTTAAATTATTACAAGATGTCTTATTCACTTGAGAAAGGCTGGAGAATTAACTCTCAGAAAAAATTTAATATTTTTAACAAACCATTTTTCTTTCTATTGCAGGTATTTACTTGGTGCCCCAATCAGCTGATTGGGACTTTTTTTCTTTTTACACATGAAAAATATTTTTCTATGAACAAAATTACCTCATGGTAAGTGAAGGCTGTGGTGATGGCAGTCTGGGTGGTCATTCTGTGATTCTCACCTGTCAGATCAGAGGAAGAGGAGGAAGAAAGAACATAAATCAAAACATGCTTTGTAATTTTTTTTTTTTTAATTTTTTTAACTCACCTTTGCTATGATTGCAACTATGCTTTTAGGTAAAATGCCTGACATCATTGTTTTTTAAATTATCTTTCTCCCCCCCACCCCCCAAAAATGACAGATTTTAATAATAAAAAGACTTGATTTTTTTTTTTGCAGTGCAGGCATTATTTCTCCTGCAAATTTTAAGCCCTTATTGTTAACTGCAGTCAAAAGATAAATTAATAAAAGATTTTATGAGGAGAATTTGTTCTTTTTAAAGCTGTTCTATTAAAATTGATCAGTTTGGTTTCTTTATTGTGATACTGGAAAGGACTTTTATGAATGAATGTGAAAAATGACCCTCTTTTCTCTCATTGACAAAAAAAAAAAAACCTGCTTCCTTGAGATTTCTATGAAATCTCATTCATTAACCAGATTAAAGAACAAAAGTAAAGAAATTCAGTGTACAAAGATTAGGGAAAGACTGAAAGTTAATATAAACTTTTACCAGTCATATTCAAGATAGCTGTTTCATGAGTGAAAAATTCCAGAATATGATATTCTTTATTCAAGCCAGAGATATTCTTAAATTTTATATCATGAATAGATATCTGGTAAAAGTGATGTTAACTTCAATCAGATGATTATGCAGAATATTTCTCACAAGGTGTGTTTCTGTACATATTCCAATGTTCTTTGTTAATCTTTTATTTTTTATTCTTTTTTTGTTGGTATTTTCCTCCTTGGGTCTGTTCTGAACAGACTTCTTTTTTTTTTTAAACACAAATGTATAAATTCTTTCATTGAAGTTTTGTTTTATCCTCTAAAGCATTTTTCAATAATTTTGACAACATTTCTTCACATCAGCTTCAAATAAAACAGAACTCCATCAACAACTTTTTACTCTATCAAACTGTAGTAATTGCATTTTCTTTTCCCCCACATACAAAATATGCTTCTAATTGACACTTTGAAAAAAAAAAAAAAAATATTGCTATCAACTATCAGGCAGCTTTACTTATATAATTTATTATATATATATATATATATATATATATATATACACACACACATAAACAATAGCTTTTTATATTTTCTTTTAATAACAAAAAATGTTGTCAAAAGTTTGTAAAAGCACATTTTAGAAATGATATTGAAAAAATATTTTTTGCATGTGTGGAGGAGGAAAATGGCCACATCCTGAAATGAAAGAAAAGTGATGTTTGTCAAATTAGTGATTGGATCATGCACAATTTATTTTTATATTTGATCCTTTGAAATTAAAAAAAAAAAAAAAAAAAAAATTAATGTCTTGATTTGATTGATTTTCTTTACAAGTTGCATTGCACATGGTCATAGCACACTGCAACTTTGTGATGGGGAAGTGAAATTGATAGATCTATTTATCATCTACCTCTTAGTTACTGATAGATATTTTTGTTGATGTTCTGACATATAAACTGAGTTGAATTTCACTTACAGATGGAGATTATCACAATCAGTTTGGGGTTCTGAATTTCTTATAAGTGCCAATCTTATATAATTTATAATTATTAGGGAACAATTCACTTTGACCCATAGCTCAAATATGAAGAATCAATTTCTCTTACAACACAGGGAATCCTTTCTTCCCAATAGTCAAAAACTGTTTCATATCAACATTTTTACTGCAACATTCTCTTTAAAATGTTGAACATGACTGCTTATTCATGACAGAGTAGTGTCATATCAAAAAAAAAAAAAAACAAACAAACTTTGAGCACATTTTCAGTATGTGTGTGAGTACATATATTTTAAGTTGGTTAATTTTGCACCTAGAAAGCTAAAATTTTGGGGGTCAAAATATTTTAATTTTACCAAATTTTAGACAAAGAATGTTAACTGTTCTTTATTTACAAAGAACGGTAACTCTGCTACCACCTAGGTTTTTAACTATGAAAAGAGATTCCCATAGTCGATTGAAAGTTTCCTTTTTTCCAGAATAGGAAACAGCAGAAATTGTATAACCGTGAGTGCTGCAAGAGATATTGGAAAAAAGTTACTGATTAGAGAATCTTGTAAACTGAATGAAAAATATGCATTTAAAAAAAAAAAAAAAAAAAAACTTATTTTCAAGAAATGTGTATCGAGTTCTATTTTTATTCAGCATTTGACCACAGACATTAATTGACTCCTTGGATATCAACCACTTTGGAAACCACCGATTTAAACTATGACTTTTTTTTTCTTTCGAAAACTGGTTGAATAATAAGATCCAAATTTTCAAGGTGGTGTTTTCTGGGTTAAAAGAAATTTCTAAGTAGATTAGACATTTTATCACATTGTAATCATGCACTTAGATCTGAACAAATACTAAAATATGCATATAATAATAATCATTTTTATATATGCTTGCTTTTTTTTTTTTATGGGTGAGTATTTAAATACTTCAAATTTTCTTTTATAATTTTTTAATCTTTATTAATTTTTAATATATAGCTTCTTAAAGAATTTATCGTAAATGAAATATGCATTCTGCATATTTAGGACAATGAATAAATATATTTTTGGTTTTAGTAAGTAATAATATTTTAACACTTTCATATCATTTGTTTTAATATCTTAATATTTTTCTAGGTAAATTTCTCTCCATGTACTTTTTAAAAAATGTTTTACTGTAATCGATTCTAGCAAAAAAATATTTATGCTTTGAGTGTAAAACTTGCATGTTATTGAATATTATGGATCAAAATATCACTAAACTGCTGTTTGAAGTTTTGCATGCTATTTCAAGCTAATGCAAATTTACAGTATTTACATTAGTCGGACTATTGTCCTCATCTTTGTCGCCATATTTGTTACAACGTTTCGGCCGTGGTGGTTGGAATTTCGAACTGAACCCTTTATTTTGATCACTGCTAGTTCCACGTTTGATGGATGTCAGTTATCAGTTATCTCCTGCTAATTTTCCCTCTGAAAGTTCTCCACTGCCTTAACCAGGTATTGAACTCGCCTTCTTTGGGTCTGTCACTGGATATAACCAACACCTTTATCCACTGTGCCATGTGTCCTTGGGTATGAACTTCTGAGTATTATAAACCTAATGTTTTCAGCATCATTTTTTACCAGTGCTCATATTGCAATTTTGCTGTTATCATTGCATGTTTTTACCAGAGTTCATATTGCAACTTTGTTATCATTGCTTTTCTCTGGCACTCCTTATTACTGGTTCCCATATTGTATTTATTTCTATGCTTGGTCGGCTCAGGAGATTTTTGTGGCCTAGCATATGTGCTGATTCCTTAAGTTTACGAATTTTCCAATGGTGTTCCCTGTCTATGATCTCAACGTGATCCCACAGGGGGCGGTGATCTCCCTTCTCTCTCCATATGTGGTGAGTGTTGTTGTCCTCCTCCTCCTCTTGTACCCGCCTATCCCAGTTTTTGGGGGTTGCTGCCATGTACCCATAATTGACCCATTGATCAGAAAGTCTGCTTCATATGTCCGAAATATACCCATATGTCCGAAATATACCCAGATGTCCTCAAGGACACATGGCACAGTGGATAAAGGCATTGGTTAAATCCAGTGACAGACCCAAAGAAGGTGAGTTCAATACCTGGTTAAGGCAGTGGAGAACTTTCAGAGGGAAAATTAGCAGGAGATAACTGACATCCATCAAACATGGCACGTGGAACTAGAACAGTCTACCCCAGTGAACGAAATAAAGGGTTCAGTTCTAAATTCCAACCACCTGAAGAAGGCCTGAGCGTACAACGGCTGAAACGTGACAAAGATGAGGACAATAGTCTGACTAATGTAAATACTGTACATAATACCTCATCTCAGAAATATAGACAGACAATGCAAATTTAGTTCTTGAAACCAAATCAATTTGTTTAGCACAAGGCCTCAAGTGATTTCCCATATCATTTTAATTCAAATGATAATCTATTTATTAATTTAAAATGGTTTGAAGCTTGTGTTGCATTCTGACTGAGGGATATTAATATGTAAACAAAATATTTAGGCTTTGTGTGTTGGCTTGAGTATATATGCAGGTCAGTGGAGCATTGTGAGTACAAGCTTTTTAAATATGAACAATAGTCATCAACTGCTTATTACCCCTGCCCGCATTGATTATGGCTTCAGTTTGAACCTAGACTTTTCTTTTTGTTACACAGTTAATATACAAATGAGAAAAATCAAAAGGAGCATTTAACCAACATGTTGATTTAGAAAAATTAGTAGCAGGAATAATGACAACCACTGAAAAATATTCTATTTGACAAATGAATAAAATCTTTTGTACTGGGAGACATTAAATAAAAGAAAGTTTTATGTAGGCAGACCTGTACAATTCAAAAGCAGCAAGAGCTAAAAGAGTAAATTTCTCAAGTTAAATTACTTTTTTAAATTAAATTGTCAAATACAATACATATCTGAGATATATGTGTGTGTGTGTAATATATAAATAAATCAAGAGATGGCACAAAGAGGAGCAAAACTCAAATTCTAGTATAGAGTTGTGTAGTTTGTCAGCATAGTGATATTTTTGTGTTGGATTATTTGTATGAATAGGCTGAATGTGACCTCTTGGATATAAGTATAAAAAAAATTTTCTTGGCTTATAAGTGCAAACAAGGCAACATTGAAAATTATTCATAGATGCTTAAAAAAAAAAAAAAAAAAATGCAGATGATACATGGTTATGAATGTTGATATATTCTGTATCTAGGCAGAGATGTTCTACACTTGGAAAGGAACATTGTTGATCAGAAAGATGTCAAGACAGGCATAGGAAGTATTTCTAGATCATAGCAACCTGGGAACAAATGAATATATATGTTAATGAGATCAGGCAGT